AATAAATTATTGTACACAATAAATAATATCTACGCAGACCACTGGCGACTAATTTTTTTCTTCTTCTATTTTCCTATTTTGCATATTTTTTATATTTTCATTTTGTGAAGAGACTATAAGCTACCATAAATTGCATTTAAAAAAGTTTAGCAAAAAATAGATAGAAGTTCGAATCTAGTATTGACATCTGTGAGTTATCTTTATTTCTGCTAGTTTTTAGTTTAATTGCAAAAATATGCTTATTTATTCAGCTGCTGCTTTGTTTAGTTTCAACATTTCGTGCAGTGACTGCATTTATCGAAAGTTTTTCGGTTTCATTTCGATACTTGATAATGCTTTCAAATGAATAAATGAAAAACAAAAACAAGCAATTTACAAAACAACTGAATTTGCCTTTGTGCTTCATAGCTCTCTCAAAACCAATAAACATTTTATAACATTGTTTTGAATTTGCTGTGAAAAATATTGTTTTCAATGTTGCACCCAAAAAAATCCAACAGAAAGATTTTTCGAAACTTTATTGCAAAAGCCAAATAAAATAATGTCAGATAAAACGCAAATATCCCAGCTATATGGGCTCAGAAATAAAATCATTCTGATATTTAAAAAATCGTCCTGATAAATAACAAGATTTTTCTAGATTTTATTTAAAAAATATGTTTATTTTATACAGAAAATATTTTATAACGTAAAAAAGGCATACTCTTATTTATAGAAACAATTTCTTTCAGAAATTCAGAAAATAGTAATGAAATTTGCTCCCTCAACTGCGTTTGAGTAGAGTAGGTTTGCCTACTGCCCAATTTAAATGCTATTTATAAATTGGCTTGTCAAAAATGAGACTCTAAATCAAATCTAATTGACCAATCTTTAATTTTAAGTTGGGCTCTATTATTGCAAGTGAATGTGACAGAAACAGCTAAGTCAGATTTCAAATGCACAAGTCTTTCAGTGTTCATCACGAGATTTATATGATCTTGCTTGATGGAAAAACGGTTAAGATTGTATTGGAGTTGTGCTAAAAAGATGAGCCATCTTCCTGAAATCAACAATTACAGTAACATCAATCGATCATAAATGTGGTATAAGATTTTCGAAATATTGTCTTTAACCTGTGATTGTGATTGGATTCTTGTGAACGTTTATTCAACTGACATGAGCAATATTTTCTACGATCACTATTTCTACATTAGGATGCGTCATAATACATGTATGGATATAATTTATCATTTATTTCAATTATTTTCTAAATTGCACAGAATAAGCTTTTTTTGGAGTAGTATTTTTCTGTTGCCCATTTTATCTACCATTCTTCCTCTCTCCCAGTCTCCTCACAATTTTCCACTCAAGGATGTAACAAGTTGCCATCAACACGCGCCTATTGCAGAATGACTGCATGTGTGTGTGTGTGTGTGTGCGGACGGGAATGGGGATGGGGGTGGTGGGTGGTGGGTGGATATATGTGCGTGTAAAATATGTCGACAATTGCCAATGGCTGCTTGTAATTCCCAATCTATGAATAACAAATAGGCCCGTGCCAGGCAACCGGCGCCAGGCCCCCAAGCAAACTAAGGAATTTGATGACTGCAGAACAGTGTCGCATGGCAAGGGGTGGAAAAGGGCAAAGATGACTGTTGCTGCGAAATCAAATCATAATCTGAATTTTAAAGCAACCGAGATGGCAAGAATATTGTTGTTATTGGTTGTTGTTGAATAGGCAAATGCAATTTTCCAGCACGTTGTTACATGAAACGTTTGCCATCGCCTTGTTGTCATTGGGGCAGAGTTCATGATGAGTGTATGTGTGTGTTTCTGTATGTGTGTGTGTGAGGGGGGCGAAAAGGAAATGGCGTCGCCGTTCTTATGAGTATGCTACGAATCATTTGCTTGTTGCTGTGTGGGTGTAAATGAGATGGCATGCATTATGATATAGGACTTACGCTTTGACGCCTTTTGATTTGATTGTTGATATGACATCAGTGGCACGCCCCTCACACCTTTCCCCTCCCCTTCCCTCCTGCACACACCGTTGCAGTGTAGCAGTAGGAATCCCTCAGGCGTGTGCGCCATTTGTAATTCAAGTCAAAAGGCAGCAAAAATAGCAATGTTGTTGCGAAAGACTACAGGATTATAATTTCTTTTCCGTTTCAATGCATTTCATTTCCGTGCACAACGCACGAGCTAACACAGACACACACACACACACACACACATACACACATACATATATATATATATATATATATATATATATACAAATGGTAAGTCTGACGCACTTGTGTGCTTTGCATTTTTGACTCAATTATAATTTTTCATGCAAAAATGAGTGCCGAGTGGGGCAGTCAACATAAGTAACGATACTTGTAATCTGATTACATAACGTGATCAAATTAAAATGCATACAGTTATTCATATTAGATACGATAGACACCATCACACAAACCCACACACACACACACACACAACATCTGCCTCTCATGTGTGTGTAATTTCAAATGGAATCTCAATGAAATGCATGTTTTTGTATTTCCATCAATATCTGTACGATAAAATGTCATAAGTTGAAACAAGTAAGAATGCTCTAAGCGAGATTACTCAACGAAAAAATATCCTATTTAAATTTGAAGTAAACTTCAACTGCGAATATATATATATATATAATGGACATAAATTACAAATCAGCATCACAAGTCAATTCATTAATGTTAGGTTCATACATTCAGTCAGTGTTATATTTTGGTTTGCATTGTAAAACCCCCCAATCCCCACATCTTCAATGATGAATAAAGATTTCTCATTAATCAAAAGATGCAATTTTCTGCACGCACAAAAATTAGCAACAAGAAAAACATATTTTCAGGCTGCAAAATTTGAGGTTGAAAGACTCTAAAATTGTAAAGCATATTCTTAGGATGAACTATATAATCGAAAACTAGTATTATGTAAAAATATATTAACCAATCTACCAATTACAGAATATATATAAACATTAATTAAACAATGCCTCTTATAATCTAAGCCTTTATTATGAATGTGAATCTGTATACACTGGCAAATGAGCCAAGACATAGATATAGGGAAAACTATCCAATCAAGTTTAGTGACTGTACTACTCAAGAACATAAAATATTTGAAGGAGAGCATAGTTATATTAACTGCATCAAAAACAATCAATTCATTCCGCATTTTGCAGCGGATTATGGAACAATTCTTTTAATTGTAATATTAACAATGTTCGCTATTGCTTACGCTCTAAGATTAATTGAAGAAAATCAAATTCGTGAATTGGTTAAAACTGTGCAAAAATAAGATTCGCTTAGGAAAGGGAGAGTTGGCATCGTAATTCTGTCTGTTCCCGTTCCCCAACCCAATCCATATCCAATACCAATATCGGGCGATATTATAAGAAGCCTTCCCAATCAGTTTAAGAGTAGGAATAGATATAAGTACCTTGCCAGCATGCTATTGCTAGTCTTGTCTCTATAATTGTGATTCCTCATTCTCTGCGGTCCCTTAAGACCTCAACACAAAGCTGCCACCAGATCAAAAATACTACAACAACAATCGATAGGCCTCGAACCATACCCCAATGCTACAAAACTATCTTTTGCATATACTATTGAGACGAACAAAGATCGGCTTACAAACGCTGGCGGTGCTCCCATATGATTTATATATTTATTGCCGAGCGACTCATGTGTATTTAATTTCCAGTGGGGCAGCACTGGCATCGGTGTTTACACAACCTGGTCACTCAAAATTCGTTACTATATTTTCGCTTGAAACGAGTCAGCAACTTATAGCTGCGATTGCACTCTGAATGCAAGTCTAGAAAAGTCTTGAAAAATCATGCGCCAATTAAAATGATGAGTCAATGGATGCGGCAATGGATTGCGTAGAGACTCCCAATCAGTTGAATTCACTTCTAGGCAAGGCGATGATTCTCGCAGAGAAGCCTCTTCTTGTTGTGAATCGCGACGTGCTTTATTCCCACTCTTTAGTATGGGGTAGAAGTGTTTATAAATTATGATGGGCATCAGTAGAAAAAAAAAACAAAGATTTGCTTCAATAATATAGCGCGTTATACCGTCAAGCATCATGCGCCTGTTTAAAATTAGCTGATTTCGATTTTATAGACCTGATGAAATTCTAAACGCCGTCTTTCTTACTCAGACTTTTGTATACCAAAGAACACACTTATCTCTCCAACTAACTAAGATTTACTATATCCACACAACTACTAACAACATTGTCAACTTCAGACACATGACTCTAAATTCTGAAAGTCATTATCTGAGACCAACTTTCGCAAAATTAAGAAAAATTAAACTTAAATCAATCCTTAAGGAAAATTCATGAATGTGATAAAAAGGAATATTAAGTTAAATTAAATTAACTAAATGAATATCTAATTTAAAATAGTTAATGTTATATTGTTAATAACATCTTATAACCTTTTATGAAACTGATTATTCATTAGTGTCTTAAATAAAAAGCTTAGTTTTGTAGCACTGTGAAGGGAAAATATCAATATGAATATGTATAAATATAAACATAACAGATTATATATACATAATACGAAAAAATAGAATATAATTGGCATATGTACATCTATACATACATATATTTATATGCATTTGGCCACAATTTTTAGCTGAAAAACTCTAAAAATGTTTATTTTGTGATGCGCACAGTCACACGTCGACGTCTGGGTTAGCATATTGCCATTAAAACTTATTCGATGAGATGTTTCCCGAGATGTCCGCTTAGGCTCTGGCAAGGGCAACTGGTAGCTGTTTACATGTGACTCGCAACAACAGACTGCCAGATATTTGCACGAGATTTGCTAACGTATGCGAGGCCAACTTCAAAATATGGCCAAAATGCTAACAGTTAAATAAAGATAGTTCGGATTCCCAGTTAAGTGATCTCTCATTAATAAGACCATAAGTCCCAGTTGGACATCCGATTCTTAAATAAACAAACAATAATAACCACAATTTTCTTTTTCCTTTCTCTTTCTTTCGCTCAATAAAACACTTAAATCTACATTTGTCACAAGATTGGTTTGACAAAAAGGAAGAAAAAAAAACCATCATAGAACCATTTCGCGCTCATAAATTCAGGGAAAAATAAAATACGTCGGGGAATTTAATTTCGTTTGTATGCTAATCGAATTGCAAATGCTTCGATAAAAGTTAAAAAAAAGTTGTTTTTCTTGTTTTTGTGTTTTTTTGTTTGGGATTCGAATCTGAGGCCGAATTAAAACTAGCCGCAATTATAGTATGTTTAAACAATTTTGAAATTGAAATAACGATGAACAATTCGATGTGAATTGCAGCGCAACGCGAACATTCAAATGAAATTGTGGGCGCTTCCTTATTGTGTATGCGCTGTTATCACTATTTTGATCTGTGGATAAACTTCTGGCTTCGCGTCCGAGGTGATCAATTGCACCATGCGCTGCTGCAGCTCATCCTGGCTGGCCTGCGTGCCTGGCGGTATCATCCAGATAGTATCTAAAACAAAAAGAGATATATAGATTTAGAGATAGAAAGAGACAGAGACACAATTATGTTGTGGATTTTTTGTGAGTTATTAATTATGACTTTTAGCCAGCCCCGAAGCACTCACCGCCAAAGTACCAACCGTTGGGCGTGCACAGGCGCCACATAATCGCCGGCTGTGTGGGTATCAGATCAGCTAATATATCACATGTTTCACCCGGACGCAAGGACGGCGCACTGATCCGTTGCGTCTGAATTGGCGATGTTAAATAGCAGCCATTGGGCCAGCGTTCTGTGCCATCATTTTGTAATTGAAACGCCTGCTGCTGCGCATTCACGTGCTGCCCCTGGACAATCTTCATTGAGGGCAACGACTGCAGACTGCAAAAGTCCAAATAGCAACCGACGGCAGTTTGCAAGTTCCTGCAACACAAAATGCGAATTCATTCAACAGTTATAACAATGTCATGGTCAAAGAAGTGATGATGAATCGATTCGATTGTCGCTTACCAGTTGCTCATTTCCAAGTAGAAGCGAGCAGACTCGCGATTCATTTGATTGTTCATGAGGCTCTGGAACTGACTGATTAGATCCTCGTGATCTGTGGTGCCCATGCAACTGAACTGCTGCAGCAGCAGAGCGTCAATATCATAGTCATTTGTTGGAAGGGCCGGCCCCAATCCACCAAGCCCCTTAATTTGCGCCCCTTGTGATGATGTTGATGTGGATGTATATATAGATATAGGTGTGCTTGCAGTTGCTGATGCGGCTGCGGGTGCAAGTAGCGCTGAGACTGCAGATACAGCTGGCACGCCGGCTGCTGTGGACAGAACGAGGGACATTCCTGGCGGCGCTGGCAACGGTATCGCAATGTTGCTCGTGTCCATCATTGGATTTGTGGTTGTTGTCGTATTTGTTGTTGTCCCAAATAACGGTTCGCATTGCATACTGTCTTGCAACAGTTGTTGCATATGCTGCTGCTGCTGCTGCGTCTGTGGCTGTGGGTGATGCAGCTGCAGTTGCGGTCCCTGCTGCGTTGGAGTCGCCTCTGTTGTGCTTTGTGACTCGTAGTTCTCCTCAACGTCCATCGCTACAAATGCTTCGTATCTATTTCTATTTCTATATCGCTCTCAAGAATTCAAGTCCAATCTGTAAAGCCGAAAATGTGAAATGCGTTGTAAGCATATTGTTATTGTTATTGTTCTTGTTTCTCATCGCTGCAATGACAAGCAGACAGAGAGACAGACAGACAATGGAACACGACATGCGACGACGAACCTCTTCCGGCGACTCTCTCTGTGTGTGTTTGTGTTTGTTAAGTGTGTGTGTGTGTGTGTGTGTGTGTGTGTGATCCAGCACGGAGTTCGGTATGTCTGTGTGACGCACTCTACTTAGTTATTTATTTAACTGTCGCGTGCACATTTATACGCTTGGGTCCTCTGCACTTTTGATTTACATAAAAATAGACTAAAACGTTAAAAGGCAGCAGCAATGCAACAAAATATGCAGTGTTACCGCGCACTGGCTATCGAAAAAATACCAAAAATAATTCTAAATATATACTGACACAAGAATATGACAATTTAATTTTTCATTTTTGTTCGCTTGACTATGAAAGCTGCTATCCTTTCCTAAATATTAAATCATAAATCATTTTTGACTTGGTAAACCTTACCAAATGAGTACTAAGTGAGTGAGTATATCTTCGATAACACTTCGCAATGAGAGTCGATTCAATTCGATGGTTCGATAAGAATCTTTCCGTTAAAGTGAAATAGTCAATTCAAATATATGAATATATTTAAATGGCGAGATAACCACGATTTGTGATGCACTCTATTTTCAAAATCCAAGAAATGCATGTTAAAATTTCAACCCTCGAAACGAAACTTTGCTTTCAAGCAATGTTTTATTTGGTCCGAATTCGATGCAGCTGACTTACCCTTGCTCCAGTTCGTGCCCTTGCCTTGCTTTGTGTGCGCACTTGTAAAATTCTAAAATGTGAGAATCAAACACCAACACTATGGAAGATTGGGCAACATGTTTTGTTTGATATCGCAATTTGTGATCGGTATTGTTTTGAAATGCGATGATTGCCAGCTGGTCGTCATATCGATAGATCGCATTCGATATTTTGAGCCCCCACCACCACAATGAAAACAAATAACTCTCGTGCAATATATAAGAGCGCAGCGGCTAATATTATTAACAGAAAGAGTAGCTAGCAAAAAATACGGCTTTACCCCAAACACAATGTGGTAGACGCTGCTCGGCCCCAGTTGTCAACACAGCAAGCGGACGGACGAGCAGCACATCGAACGCCAATGCACATCAACGTTAACATTAACAGCAGCAACAATAACAATAACAACGTGAATATCAAAAGCAACAATAATAACAATGAAACAATAATTAAAATAAATGGTTTAATGTAAGTGCCTAACGAGCCCTAGCGAGTGTGCCCCACACCACCAGCACTACCATCAGCAACCTCCCTCTAACATTCACCTGACGCCATTGGAGCAGCAGTAATGAGTTGCCAGCGTATAAATCAACACAAAGGCCGAAATAACAAAAACAAGAAGAAGACCATCGTAAAGAACAAACATTCAAAAATCAAAACAAAACAAGAAGCGACGACGGCGACGACACACACAAAGACATCGAACCCGGTGAGAGAACTTCTGACTCAAAATTTTAGACAAATAAAGAAAGTAAGCTGCCAGTGGAAATTAGGCCAACACATTTGCAACGCCAAGCAAACGTTCGCCTACAGCAAACAGCAATCAACAAGCAACAACCAACAAGCAACAACAACAACAATAAAGACATAGAGAACGCCGCCTTATTCATGAAACCTTAGCCATAAGAAACAGCAAGCACCAGCAGCAACAACAACAACACCAAAAGTTACCTCAAAATGGATTTTCTGGCCAATTTCATCAAAAATCCGCAAACAATGTTGTGTAAGTGTTTAGTAGCTCATATTATTATTATCAGCAATCATTAGATACTTACATGCATTATCTATCTATGTATTGGTGTGTGTATATATATATTGTTTTTATTGATGTTTAACACATAGCCACTTACATCGATCTGGACTATTCGCTCTGGCTTTATCGCTTTCTAACGCCACTGATTGTCACATTCCTCCTGCCGCTCGTCTTCGTCGCTCTCATCTACATATCATTTTTGGTTCTCTTCATCTACAAGCTGCACAGGTAAGCGAGACCACAAAAACAGAAGAATAAAAGAAGCAAAACTGCTTACGCCAACAAATGCAAATATCGAAATACATATGCATATATATTTATATATATATATATATATATGTGTCTATATATATTTATATATAATATGTGCTGCGCTTGCATTTCTGCCATTGAACTCTCGCACGAATTTACCGCTTTGGCAACAAATTCTGCAAAACAAAAAAAGCAAGCAAAAACAAAAAACAAATCAACAAAAAAAGTACTTACTAATACCATGGCTTTTTATGAATAGACCGACTTGTCGATACCCTGTAGCCCTATCAAAATTTTTATGTTTATTAGAGTGCTTATCGCGAGACTGTGCGACTAGAAAATACTCTATGTTTCAACAAAAAAAAATTGTATAAAATTCGTTTCTTCAAAAATGTCTATCTAATTCACACCGATGATTATATATCCTATATATAAAATATATCATTTTCAACCGATCGTTACTTTGAAAGCTATATGTCATAGTAGTCCTATTTTTGATGATTTTTATATATAATAAAAATAAAGGATTTCCTCAGTGAAGGTTTTATCAGCTTTACTCAGCTAATTTATAGGGCTTTGCTCATGGTGGTCTCTTAAGTGGCTATATGCTATATGTATATATCTTACCTATCTTCCTATATGTACACACATTTTCGAAAGCGTGTAGGGTATACAAATAAGCAATAAAAAAAACGGCACTCGAGCACATTTGCACACACACTTGAACCTTTTCCCCCCTTGAGTCTGGTGCTGTGGCACTGGGGGCTGGTTCTGGTGCTGGGACATTTAAGCGAGTACTTGAAGATGACTTAGCATTTATTATTTAAGTTGAGTATATTATACAATGTATACAATTCTACAGTTCTTCAAGGGTGCCACTTTTTACATTGTGAGAACGCTTAAACCGGTTCTAAAAATTGCTAATTAACTAGATATTAGCCGAGGCCTTGAAGCAAATATTGATAGTGGATAGAACATATCATTAATGAGTCACACACAGCTAGTTATTATCTATATATCGAACAGCAAGTACTTAAACTGAAAACGAACGCATTCTCCATCAGTGCGTCATGCGAATATCAAATATAAGTGCACAAATCAGAACAAGACACGACATTATCATCGTCATTATTATTGTAGAAGCTGTTGTTGTTTCCTTTGTTGCTGTTTGTGTGATAACAAAGCTTTAGCTTATGATATTAGTTCCATTTCCCACATATGTATTAATGAATACACAAATACAAAATGCTTTTCAAATATATGTTAGCTATATATTTATGATAATAAAAAAAACAACTATATGCATTCAAGTCCGATTTCAGCCAAAGAGAGAGAAATAAGACGATGATCTGCCCAGAAGTTAGTTGTTAAACACATTCTAGGTTTTATTGCAAGTTTTCCCTTTAAAACAAACTCGTATTTACCTTAATAAAGGGTCAACAACTTTAATGAACCGCTGAGAACTACACAAATCTCAGCTAGCTGCCATTTTTCTCAATTGTGGCTTTATTGAAATTTTTTTGTTGATTTCATGAAAACTGCTATTTAACGCATATTATTATGTTGTTGCTCTTTGCTTTTATTGTGTTGTGTTGGCCAATGGGGGGCCAATATAAATGCCACGCCCACTCGAGACCAGTCCATTGCGGTCGTTCGTTAATGTGGCATCACACAACAGTTTGTTTGCCCTGCTTATCAGCGACCTGCCATGCAACAACAACAACAACAACAATAAAATATTGGCAGCTTTGGGGGTCGACAATGAACAGGTGCGGCTGGGCTGGCCATCGTCACAATGTACGCATATGAGAACTACATAAGTATATATATATATATATATATTTATATATATACTTCTATGTACATATACATATACATATGCATTTATTAATATTTTGTTCAAATTGTAGTCCATTGATTTATTGAGATTTTGATATTGCGAACGGAGCTCCGTAGCCCATATTAATGCTGATAACACCTGAGCCGATCCGCCACAAATGATGATGCTAATGCTGCAAAGAAAAAACAAAAGAAAAAGAAAACTAAATTTAAACATAATTATCAATTTAGCAATTAATTAGCGCCAATCGCAGTGCAAAAACAAAATTCCATTGATATTAACTGCATGCTATGTTTCTATCTACACCCATGTACACGCCAATATGTACACATGCCAACTGCTGATAACCTTGTTAACCGTATTAATCCTACGCAGCCAATCTTAATCCGCAAAGGGCTTCATTTTCTCCACATCTTATCAATTTCAACACAAAAACCGATAAATATAACAGCTAAAAATAACAACAACAACAAAATACTCTGTAAACCATTTGCATTATTAATTCTTATTTGATATTAGTTGCAGCAACTATCTTTGCCGATAGCTAGTACATATATCAGAGCCCTAAACGACCGGCTTACTATATCATATATAGCTGACACAGGCACAAAACTATTTACTTACCGATTTATCCAGACAAATATTACTAAATATGCTTTTCACATTCGAAAAGGAAATGATCAACATCGGACTATTGTTTCACATAGCTTTCATAGGAACAATCGGTCAGTAGTGAAAATTAGATTGATTGGATTAGATCTTCGGTGTGCTTCAAATAGTCTAAATTGTTGATGTGTTTAATTTTTATTTATTTGTTTTTTTTTTAATGTGTTTTTTTTTTCGAATTATAATTTGAATCTCGCAATTGTAGTTGAGTGACTTTCCCCACAAACCTGTCAAATTTGGGATTTTCATGCATTTCCTATGAAACAATAACAATAATCCGTGTTCAATTAGAAACCACATTGATAATATCAAATCATCTCTCTATCCCTGTCTCTCTCTCGCTCTCTCTCCCTCTATCTTTCTCACTCTCCATCTGTATCTGTGGAATTTGCAGGCAGGTTATTATGCGAGCGGTGCAAACGGATCGAAACTTTTGGCGCGTCGGCCGCAAGATTGTGGCTGCAATTTGGGATGCACACGCGCGCATTTATCATGGATATGAGGTGATCGGTCTGGAGAATGTGCCGCAGGAGGGACCAGCGCTGATTGTCTACTACCATGGGGCGATACCCATTGATATGTACTATCTAAATTCACGGATGTTGCTGCAGCGCGAGCGTCTCATCTACACGATTGGCGATCGATTTCTGTTCAAGCTGCCTGGCTGGGGCACCATTTCCGAGGCGTTCCATGTCAGTCCCGGCACGGTGCAGTCGTGTGTGAGCATATTGCGCGATGGCAATCTGTTGGCCATCTCACCGGGTGGCGTCTATGAGGCACAGTTCGGTGATCATTATTATGAGCTGTTGTGGCGCAATCGTGTCGGTTTCGCCAAAGTGGCCCAGGAGGCCAAGGTGGCGATAATACCATGCTTTACACAGAATTTGCGCGAAGGCTTTCGCCAGGTGGGCATCTTTCGCACGTTCTTCATGCGTTTGTATAACAAACTGCGCATACCCGTCTATCCCATTTACGGCGGATTTCCGGTCAAGTTTCGCACATATCTGGGCAAGCCCATACCCTATGATGAGAACTTGACGCCGCAAGAGCTGCAAGTTAAGGTGAGCTCCTCTCTCTCTCTTTTTTTGCCTTTTTCGATTCATATTAATTATGTTTGTATTTGTGTAGGTGGCCACCGCCATTGAGGATCTTATTAATCGGCATCAGCGTCTGCCTGGTAGCATACTTTTGGCGCTATTGGATCGCCTGCCAGCATTTAAACGTCATCGCAAGAATTCAGTTTGCAGCCCCGTCAAGGATAAAGCGGACTGAGGCGCTGCAGCCAGGCTGGCAAGCAGGCAGGCATATTACCAATAAATAAAAAAAAACATCTCTGGAATTTGATAATAAGAAGAACTGTGTTAATTGGACTAATAACTAAAGCAAATATCAAATCCGTGGGCATTGAACATTGAACATGATCATCGATCGATCATCGATTGTATGCCATAAGACTTCGTTCCATGTGTACTTCATTATAATTAATATTATGTAATGTCTAAATTAATGTCGTAACTATTACTACTAATACTACTACTACACTACGTCTACGTCCTCCGTCTAGTTGTAACGTGAGTGTATCCAATTCGTTCGTTTAAGTGACAACAGTGACAACTAGTGCAATAAACCGCCTTGTATAGCTCGTAACATCTTTTGGATAAATACTTAGAATAGATAATTCATACCGAATATAGAATGCCTTGTTAGCCATAAGCCATAGCCAATGTGGACACGAACAAATTCATTTCAATTTGTAGCATTTTATTTAATGGTTGCATTTCGTTTCGATTTTTTTTTATTATTTTTTATTTTTCTATCGTAGTTTTATAAACATACATAAAACACATTTAGGCATAAACATCTAATTGCTTTAAACTCTAATTTTATATAGGAGAATGGTTTGTGTGCGTGATTAAACTAGTTTTTTGTCCTTTTTATTCTTTCTTTTTGTTTTTCTTTATTGTATAAATGTGAAACGAACATTTTATGTTTCAAATTTCTCGTACATGACAATTTTATTATAAGCCAACTAAACTAAAATTTAATTTGTAATTAAAACAAACAAAAACCAGCAATATAAAAACAATAACAAGCTGTATGCTTTTCTTGAATCGAAGATTGCAGTTGGTATTCGCCCCTCCTACAGAATCTTTTACTATTCTGATTGAAATAATGATTATCGTATTATTTAAAAAAATAATAATAATAATAATAAATAAGGAGAACATTCAGCGACAATTTTGTTCTAGTATTATTAAAAGTTCTTTGAAAAATATCACTTTTATGTTAAAACCACATTAAAATTAAATTGTGCAAATCTTTAAGGCTTGCCAGAGGCAAATAAACGCGCAAAGAAACCCGATATTCAAAGAGAGAAAGAGAGAGAGAGAGAGAGATGGAAGTAAAAGTGATATTAACTTGATCTACGAAGCCACATTACAAATTGATGTGTTCTATAACATATTCTATGTGTTAAATCCATACGCACAACATTAATATATCCATTGACCTTAATTGCAGAGTTTACATTTAAGAACACTACAAATGAGTGCAACATTATTATAATTATTATTTTTGTTTCTTTTTGTTTGTCTACATTTACATGCAGTGTTTTTATTATGTAATTATCAAAATCATCTATTAACGCTATTTTATGTAATTTGTCAGAAATCGTCAATTAATCGTTAACATTTTTGTACAGTTTACTTTAGGAGCAGACAGAGCGATTTTGTCCTTCGTGATACATAGAACATTTACTTGTACACCCATACATAGAGCCTATATATATAACTATATATAGTGCGTACTACAATTTTAGATCTTTGGAAAGAAGCACTTGGCTAGGGCTAAACAAAAATCGCAGTGCATGCGGAATATGCTCGAATGTTTCTTTTCTTTTTATATAATTTATTTTATTTTTTTTTAAGTATTTCTTTGATTTGTTTTTGTTTTTGTTTTTATGTGAGATTATCACAGGAGGAACTCTCAGCGATCGTGGAGTGAACGATCTTTAGACGTTTAGAACTGCTCGGCCATGAGGAGGACGACCAGACCGCTCCAGCCGGTGAAGGGACTGCAACCTTTGCCCTCGCCGGTCTTATCATCGTACTGCTCCCAAATGTAGCCGGTGCGCTTATATTGCCGATAGATGTTCTTCACCAGATTGTCGCGCAGCTCACCATAGATTTGGCGCGCCGTTTGCGCAAAGGGACCCTCGATTTTGCCATAGTGGCGCAGCGCCTTAACGGCCAAATAGTTGATATTTATCCAGATGGGACCACGCCAATATGGCGGATCGTGTTCCGTATTCCGTTTCATGTACATCGGTGAGTTCTTGGCCAGCGAGCGCAGTCCATAGTTTGTCCACAGCATCTCCGGATCGCGCAGATCCTGCAGCATGCGACCCAAATATGGCGAATCATGCTCCAGCTGCTCCAGCAGCAACGGAAACAGACTCACATAGCCAAACATGGAGTCCACAAACTTATAATCCGGTTGCTTTAACACGTAACGCTGTTTCTCCGGCGCCGGCAAAGATGATGATGATGTGGAGGAGGATTGCGATCGCTTGCCAGCTGTGCGCTGTGTTGATAGCGGGGGCGGTGTCTGTTTCAGGGCAACGGCATCTGTGTGAAGGCCCCAATCCGCATAGTGTTCGCTAAACGGATCCAAATGCAAACGATTGAGCAGCCCATTGTCCGTCAGATAGGAGGCCGTCTCATAATACTTGACATCATCCTTGCCGAGCAGCGATGACAGCTCGGCCATAACGCTGGCAGCGAGCGCAATCCAGCAACGCAGATCGACATGACGCTCCAGCGGCGTCGGATGCGAGGCACGCGGATAATCGTCCAGGCCCGAGGACAAACTCTTTGGATTCAGTTCACGTACCGTGCTCGCATTGCGTCCGCGCCACAGATACGTGCCCAACACCTCACCTGCGGATTGACAATGTATCAGAAAGAGAGAAAAAGAGAGATGAAGATTATGCAAGAGAGACAATGACTTACCTCGCTGTGTGGTATTGTACCAGGTGAACCAGGCCTGGAGACGGGGATAGAGTCGCTCCAGGGTGGCGAAGCGACCCTTCTGCGCCAACTGTTGCTTGTGATGGTTAAGCAGTTTCCGGAGCGTTAGGAAAAACGTTGGCGGATTCGCGTTGCTATTGCGCTGAATGACAAACTCATCGGGGACCTTGGCAAGCGCCTCGACGCCAAGGATTTGTTCGCGCGGTATCCAACCCTCGATGTTGAGCAGATCGAACCAATGACAGATGATGTCCAGCTCAATGTCCACGTCCCAGGCGCTAATCAATAGACCATGGAAGCCCTCGTCCCACAGGAAGCCGCGTGGAAAGAAGCTACGCGATGGCACCGCCGTATACAGTGGCGCCTTCCAATATGGCACCGGATTCTGGGTGTGCACCGACTGCACCCGACTCGCCCCATAGAAATAACCGATGCCACCAATCATATTGCTGAAGGCATTCCGGGCAAATCGTATCTCATCGGCGGCATAACCCTTGGCGGCCAATTGGAACGTGTCCTCAAAACGTTTCTCAAACGCGCCAATCTTCTCCAGCAGCGAGTCGGTGTAGGCGCGTCCCGTTGGCGGCTTCGGTATGGATTCGCCCAGCGCAAAACCGGACGTGGACTGATACGTAATGTCCAGCGTGAAATCCACCTCGGCGGTAATCTGTATGGCAATCAAATTGGGCTCCGGATTCGTTGAGGGTAAACCATTCTGGGAGATTATCTCGCCGGGTAGACCAATAAATCGTTGTCCCTGCTTGCTGGTGAAGGCGCGAAAATGCGCAAAGATCGTATCCTTGAGCTTGGCCAGCGATGGCGCCACTGTACTCAAATACGATTTGTGCAGAATCCTTCCCTTTGCCGGATGGAAACGCACCTGAAACTCGCCAAGTCCTTGACTCTCGCCGTAGACGCCCGGCTCCGGGCTCTTCTCGTCCGAGACGTACTTGATGTGCCCGTTGGTGCGCTCATCCAATGCCACATACCAGATCAGCGATATACTGCGATCCCAGGCCCGTGTCGTATTCCGCACCGAGATGCGGGCGGTCCAATCGCCGCCAAACTGTTTATCGCCGTTATATTTGACAAAGGAGGTCTTCACCTCAAATGGCATATCCTGTATGTCCTGCACCCCAAAACTGCGACCATCATGATGCGTCCAACCGTAGCCATCCAGTTTGTCGCTCTGCTCGCACCAGTGCCGAATGCCGGCGCCATTTGGCCCCAGATTGCTCGGCGTATACCACATCAAGCCCATGACCAGTGAGTGCGGATCACGAGTCTTCAGACCGAAATACGTTTGCGGCCGATATGTGCCCCAATAGCGTTCCGGATCATCCAATCCGGTCAGCAACACCATCTTCTGATTATCCAGGGGCGTATTGACGCGTGTCTCCAAATAGCCCAGATAGCCAAAGTAGCTGGCAATGGCCAGGCACACACACCCAACCAGCGTCTTCCACTTGTCCAGCATCAGGCTCGAGGACAGATTCCAATTCAAGTTGCTCCTGTTGCTGCTCGAGCTGCGCTGCTTGCTTTTTGCACTTGCTGCTGCTGCTGCGGCTGCTGCTGCTGCAGTTGCAGCTGGCGTTTCGTTTTGATTCGTTTTGGGCGTATTATTGTTGCTGCCGCCTGCATTGCGCGCCATCCTTGCCAGCTTGTAACTTATAACACAATTTTATTTTTGACTCCTTTTTTACTTTGTGTACACACACATACACACACGTACACGTACACGTACACGTACACAATACGTTATTCGTTTTCAACACTGACTGGCAGTTGGAGTTGTGCAGTTCCGCTCTAGTTCCACACTAGTTCATTTGCATGGCTTGTCATTTATAAATGTTTTAAATGTTTGTCGTATGAAAAACGGAAACATTTAAAAATTGGTTGAAAATTTCAGCAATTAGCCGAAATGTTACATACATCTCGATTGGCTTATGAGCTCGAGTTATGGTGAGCTATCTGAAAAAAAAGAACTATAATATTCAGGTGGCGTGGCATGCATCGATAATCGATTTATCGATAGTGCGTTGTATGACAGCTGTTTGCTGTACACACAAATTTTTGTTTACAAACAAAAAAAAAAAAAAGGAGAGGAAAGCTACACGATGGATTCACCGACGCCGTCGCAGCCCAAGCCGAAACGTTCGTTTAAGAGTCCTTTTGCGTTTCCAAGAAACTGCGTCTATCGACCGCTCCGTCAAATTCACAACACGGAGCGCAATCAAAAATTGCCAGCAGATCAACCCACATGTGAGTAACACAGACAGACAGATTGTCCCTGGGCGCGGACAAGTTCAATAAACATGTATTGTTATAATTGTGTTTTTTTTTTCGTTTTGCTGTTTCTGCTTCACTTGGCACAGACTTCACGCTGAATGCGCCGCCCTCGCTGCTGCCGGCCAAGAAATACTCGGACATCAGTGGCCTGCCCGCACCCTACGTCGATCCGCACTCGAAGCTGCGCTACGCCAATGCCGAGGAATATAGCAATATGCAGCACATGCCCTCGGACATCATCAATGGCTACTTAACCCTGCGAGGCTACACAAGTGCCGTTGGCTAGCAACAAGAGTCCCAGCTCTAAACAAGCAGCACGTCAACAATAATAAAATAAGTTTATTTTAGTGTTTACGATTAAATTATGCTGTAAAATGAATGATGAATTTGATTTGTTTAACTATAATTCAATTTGAATCATTTCTAAGCATTTTGTGTAATTAAATATTGTTGAAAATATGTAAAAGATCAATACAACATTCCGATTACTAATGTTAATAACAGAAAATATCGATACCGCGCTCAACACCTTACATACATACATTTTCTTAATCTAACCGCCAAACCTAGTGCATCACTTTTTGCCGTTTTAAAAACCCAACAAATATAATATAAATATTCGATTATTTTGCGCATGAAATACAATTTCTGACTTAAGATCGATTTTTTAAAATGTGTAAATCATTTTTTGTGTGAATTTTACTGCTAATTGGAGCAAAATGTAACTTTTGCCTGGAGTTAAGCTTGAATTTCCCCAATAAAGGGTAAATATACACGGAATTGTATAAAAAGCTTACTTGAAATAGCATAAAAACAGTAGAAGAAAGTCATAATAAATGTGTATTATTTAAGTTAAGTGACGGCAGCAAATTATAATTAAACCACTGGTTGAGAAAATAAACTTAAAAAACTGTGTTTATTGGCGAGATATATATAATAAATATATATTTATCCTAAATGTGCGTATTTTAATGTGACTTCTTTCGGTAACATTATTTGCATTTTGAATGCAAGCAATGAAGAAAAGTTGCAAAGTTTATATGCCGAATAATTTCAATAATAATAATATACGAATTTTATTTAAGATTATAATGTATAAACATTTTACAAACTAGAGCTAGGTCATTATGTATTTGTAAATATATATATATATATGTTCAAGCGAGTTTCTGAAACTGCATTTGTTAATTACGAGATTTGTTTCAATGTTGTTGTTGTCGTTTTATGTGCGTGTGTGTGTGTGTTTGTATATGTATATATGTATGTGTGTGTGTGTGTGAAAATTGTTCTTGTCATTCGAATAATTCGAGCGCTCGTGGAAGAGATCGACAGGATGCAATTGCTCGACTACTAGGACTAGTGCAATCCGCTTCCAGCAGGCATATTTGTGTTAAAAGCGCATTATTTTTAATCTAAGTTTCCGAATAAAAAACCCTTGCAGCACATCGGTATATGTATATAGATATATATTCCTGTTTTTTTTATCATCATCAGCAGCTGGACTCCGTTCTGCAAGGGTATACAATCTTCGGCGTGCCTTTCTTTCTTGTATTTCGTTTTCTCTGATTTTTTGTCTTCATTAGCTGCCAGGATGAGAATGGGGAGGATCCCAGGCACCGGGGGAATCGATCAGCCCCATTCGCATACATTTCTTTTTTGTTTGTTTGTTTCGTTTTGTTTATCCATTTCGCTTAATTAGTTTAAGTTGTAGTTTTGGGCGTGGCAGCAGCGGCAGCAGCAGTGGCAGCAACAGTAAGAACAATAAATGCTAGCCAGCCTGATTGATGGGCCGTGTAATACTGTTCGGCTGTGTCAGCATATTTAGATCGGCATGGAAGCTGCGCGGCAAACCGGATATGTCCAATTGATGCTTCAGCACCACCATTGTCGCCAGCGTCTTCAGCGTGGGCTCAAAGTCCAGCACATGCAGATCGCTGTAGTCAATCAGTGTTGTAATTGCCGCCGCTGCTGCAGCGGCTGATGTGGCTGCTGCTGCAGCTGCTGCAGCTCCTCCTCCTGCACCTCCACCACCTGCTCCTGCTCCTGCGGCTGCTGCTGCTGCTCCTCCTCCACCAGGTCCTGCTGCTGGCAACGGTTGCGTTGGCAACGCCGACTCATTGGCCCGCGACACGTTGAGAGATGTGAGCGCTGTGGCGCAACGTGGACTGGTGCCGCCAAAGAGGAACATTCGAGTGCCCTTCACAATGGCACATTGGCGGCGCCGCGCCGTTGGCGCCTGGCCATTGGCACGCACAAGATTCCAGAGTTTGGTGCGCGGATCGAATGTGTACAGATCATTAAAGTGCTGATCGAGCAGGCCATTATAGCCGCCAAACACAAAGATCAATTTGTTATGGACGAACATGCTGTGACTGCGTCGACCCACTGGCACCTTGCCAGCGGTGAATGGACGATGCCAGACCTTTGTCTTCATGTCCAGATAGACGATCTCATGGCAGTAGGTCTCCTCCTGGCTGTGGTAGGGACTATGCTTATCGCCACGCCCCCCAAAGATGTACATGCGTTCGCCCTCGTAGGCGACGGCCGCATGAAAGTCCCGATAAGTTGGCGGCACACCAAACGTTTGCACGTAGCGCCACTCCATTGTCTCCAGATTGAGGGCGTGCACATCGCTGCTGAACTCATTGATCTCATCGACAAATCCACCAAAGATATACATGCAATTGCCGATGACGCACGCCGAATGACCATCCCGGGCACCGGGCAGACAGCCGCCGACCGGCGGACGTGTCCAGTGTGCCGTCTTTGGATCGAAGCAGTAGAGCACGTTGCACAGATGCTCATCGTTGCGTCCGCCCCAAATGTAGATGCGATCCTTGTAGGCGACGACTGTGTGACCGTAGCGCTGAAATGGCACCTGCGGATACTTGAGCGGATCGCCAGCGTTGTCGCACTGCTGTGGCACCAGTGTCCAACGCATCGAGTGCACATTGAGCACATGCACATCGATCTGTTCGTTGAACCGATAATCGTCGCCGGTGCAATAGCCGCCAAAGCTATAGATGAACTCACCGACTCCGACAGCCGCATGATTCACACGCTGTGGTCCACCATCCAGATGTACTGTCCACAGCATCCTGTTCCTTCCTCCTTTTCCAGCTTTCTGGCTGCAAAGTGTACACAAATAAATCTAAATTTCGGATTCAACTCAAACAACAACATAATATTGCAATATTCTATCAACAGTTAACTTAAATAGTTTATATCTGCGATCGCTTCAAATTAATCAACGCTGTCATTTTACACAATTTACCTTAATGTGTTAACTGGCAAATAATTGTATAATTTCTTTTTTAATCGTTGCTTGCCAATATCACGAAATAAATACATATTTATTTATTGAAGCCTTCATTTATTTACTTTTTATTTTTATTAATATAATTAACATGTTTCTATTATATTTTTCAGCTGTGTTCTAAATGAAAACTATTTGAAAAGTTTTTGAATAATTTTGAATATTGAATTTGGAAAACCCAACGAATATTGAAAACATATAAATGCAATGTGCAAGTATGTGTGAGAGAGAGAGAGAAAGAGATAGATAGGAGAGAGGGATATATATACTAGCCAAAGATATCCGCTTCGTTGATGGTAACAGAAAACAGCCTTTTGCGATCCGTATCTGTCTCTCTCCCTCTCTTTCTCTCTCTGTCTCGTCCAAAAAGGTTGAAATATTGGGAAATATAATGGAATGTCATGTGCACAAAAATGCACAAAAAAGGCATATATTGTTAACAAAATGTCAAAACTTATTATTTGATTTATGAACAATATATTTTAAAATAAAAAAAGTGAAGCAAATGCATATTTATTAAATATATCTTTTTTCAGGATATTTAAAATAGATAATTAAGCAGCGTATTTTTATTTATTTTATCTAATTCCCCACCCACAACTAGTGTTGGTAATACTGGCAACAACATTGTTACATTCCACGTTTGATTCAGTCAAACACATTTTGTTTTATGTGCATTTTGCTTAAGCCCTTATTGCTCTGCTGTGCTCAGCGTATTAAACAGCTGTTTGTTTGGCAACACAAAGCGATATTCATGGAACGAGTTTTTCAATTTTAAAGGTCTCATTTTTGTGTTTAACACTGAGGTACGTATATAACTGTCAATATTGAATTGAGAAGCACTTGCAGCAGTAGCGGACATATGGTTGCAGACGAAGAAAAAGAAGAAGATGCAGCAGCGGATAAAGAGGACTGCGATTACTTTCCACAGAGAGGTGATGATATTTTACTGTCCTTTTTATCTTGCGTTTCACTTTTCTTCTCCTGAGTAATTTTTTGAGAGTGTTGTGCAATGGTGTTTTGGCCATATCGTACAAAAGATGTACATATGTGATATATACGTGTGCACATACAGATACATATACGTAAATATTTATTATCTGGTTAGGGGGGACCTTGGGGTTTTTGCCCACTTATTTACGCTTACCTCACACGAAGACAATTGCACTGAGACAGCGCCGCCTGCTGCCAACTGATTTGGGAGTTGCACACAAATCGAAATAGAGTCAAATTTTTGCTGCTGCCACAGTTCAGTTGACTTGCGCCAGTATCTCTTTCTCCTTGTTTTCTTGTTTGTTTTTGTCCGTACGGCGCGTGGTATTTGCAATGCGTATTCTGTATGTTTTTCTTTTTTGTGTAGTAGCAATTTCAGTCGGGTAATTTATAGCTACCTATCGATACTATCGAAACGTACGTGTCAATCGATATATTTATCGTGGGTGTCCGTGTGTGTGTGACCAAAGTAACAAATAAATACTGAGAATCTGCTGCACTTCCCCACAAAAACACAAACACATCAGCGACCCCAACAGCAAAAAAAAAAAACGCAAAATGAGCAAACGCAAACAAATATTGTATTCGGTTCAATAAATTGATAGAAACATTAATAATGCAAATGTGTTGCATTAGAAGCGTACAAACGGTGTGAAGAGCCACAATTGTCAGTGTCATTTACTTAGTAGTGGGTCGTTGTTGCTTCAATTTGCTTGTGTGTGTGTGTGTGTGTGTGTGCCAGTGTGTGTGTGTGTTTGTGTGGGTGTATTTGTATATCGCACAAAAAACAACACACACATAAGAAAACTGCAACAGCAACTGCAACAGAATCGTAAGTTGTCATTAGTTTTTGGCAAATGTTTGTTTCTTTCCTTGTGTTATTCATAAGAGCTAGAAAATGTGTGTAATATATGTATATGTATATAAATATGTATATATAGGTAATACATGTACATATCAGCAAAGTACATTTGTAAGTACATCGCTACTTACGTCCATAATACATGCATATGTATGCATATATTTCATTGACTTTAGCTTTGTCTTAGCCTCTCTTCCTTACACACATTCACACAGACACACACACACACAACAATAACAACGCAGTTAGCTGCGTATGCAAAAAAAAACAAAAAAAAACACCAAACCCACATAGATTTTTTTCACTTATTGTATTTTGTGTCCCCGTATGTACGTATATGTGTGTATATGCATTTGTATTTGTGTATAGATTGTGGATTGTATGTGTGTGTGTGTGTCGCTGCTGCTGCTGCTTAACAAATTGCGTCTTTTAGCAACTCCAAAGCGCGATAAACATTGGCAAGTGCGAGTGAGAGACGGCGTCATTAAAGTTCATTCATCTGATCTCTCTCTTTCGCGGTCTTTTTCTCTCTGTGCCCCCCGCTAGTGCTTCTGCTTCTCAGCTGTTCTCTGTTCAACTGCACAACACACATACATATATATCTATATCTTATGGCCCGTTAGAGAGGAGCAAGCAAGGATTTAATTTCGCTTTCTGGTTTTGTTGTTTGTTTGTTGTGCTTTTGGTATACACACACACACAACAACAGAGAGCAGCTGTATTGCGCATGTGTGTGTCGCGTGCGTTGGCAACGCCACCACACAACAGACACACAGCTGTTTCTGCGCTGTATTTTTGTTTACGCTTTCTCCCTATCTCTCTCTATCTGGCTCGCCCTCACCCACTGGCCCCGCTGCTTGACTGGCTAGCATTCGACAGTCGACTGCGACGCTGGCGTCGCAACGCAATAATTTTGTGTTGTTATTTTCTTTTGCCGTCTGATAAGATTATATTATTTTGGTTTCATCAGCTGTTGGTCGTTTTTTTCTGGTTTATTTTGAATCACTTCATTGCAGCAGCATTATTTATCTGCGACTTTACCAACACTGCTCATATTTAAACTGCTAATCATAATTCTATTTGTTGCCGATTCTGCTTTGGACCACACACACACGCACACAAGTAAACATATAAACAGTAATTTACAGAGCGTTGCCATTGACGGTAATGACCCCAACTAAAAGCAACAACAAGTGCTGGTGTGCGTGTGGCTGTGTGCGTGCCTGTGTGATGTGTGGGTTCTTTTCTTGTTGTTATTGTTGTCCCCATTGGATTTCCCTCTTTGTTTGCATGACAAAAAAAAAAATAAACTAGAAAAAAGACGTAAAAGTTCTATTGACTTTTTAAGGCGCAGCGGGTAGACGAATAACAACAACAGTAAGAAATTTGTGGCGAGGGGGCATAATTGCGTGTTTTTGTATATAACTGTAAATGCGATGCGTATGGTCAATTAAATAAGAACATGCTGATTCCGATTCCGTGGCTGATGGGGGGTGGGTTAGACATTGGAAGAAGCAGAGGCCCACTCACCTCGCCGTCAAGAAAACCAACACACAGCAGCCCAGGCAGCCATTATACAGCAGCACTGAGAACCGACAACGAGACGCGTTCTTACCGTTACACAGCACATTGCCTTTTGTCACACAGTGCAGAGGGAAAGTATTTGTATGTATGCATTTTTTAATGCAAACTGTCTCTTGCGCTTACAAATTTCTACCAATTAGATAATTCCCCGATATAATAAATTGGGTAAAACTATAGATAAATGTTGCTAGAGTTACGAGCTCACAATATGTGTTGATCAGAGCTGTGATCTCGTGAAAATCTAACAAAAGACAATTTATTTCTTGATTTGTAAATCAAATGTTGGTCAGCAAAAAAAATAAAACAAAATAAAAAAAAGATCGGCTGTTCTGACTGATTTTTTTTTGCTCACACTGTATGCGTACTGCTCTCTCTCACTGTCACCGCCACCTCACTCGCGGCTGTTCTTGTTCTTATTCCTGTTCGCTTTCTTGTTGTTGTTGCTGCTGTGCTATACATATGCCCACACTTAGCAGTAAGAACAACAGCCAGCAACGGACAACAAGACAAGAAGAAAAACAGCAATAACAAGAATATTGGGTTAACATTTCTAACGGTAATTGGGTGCGCAATGCATATTGAATTTTTGCATTTTACCTTGAATTGCATTTGCACACGCACACACACATACATAAACAGCATTAGAGGCATACGCATTGTTATTGTGATTGTAAATTATCTAGTAAATTGCCTGAAGTACATAAAGTACACGTGTGTGTGTGTCTGTGTGTTTAGTACTTGACAGCATTCTCAGTGCTGCTTGATTTTGCTTTCTTGATTGCATGTAATATGCGTATGCATTTAACAGTGTGTGTGTGTTTGCGTGCTTGTTGGTGTTGTTTTATTTTATACAATTTTTGCAATTGGTGGCGCTGCTTGTTGCAGCGCAGTCGCCACTGCCACCTGTATGCCACACACTGCTGTTGCTGCCTTTTCGTTACTTCTTTGTCCGCTGCTAAAAAAAAACGTCAGCGAGAGCCGAACTGCGGCGCCGCCGTCGCTGCCTCTGCCGTCAGTTGCCAACGGCGCAGCAGCAGCAGCAGTGACGACGACGCTGCCCGTCAGTCGCTCGTTACATTTCGCATAGCGCGCTTTGGTTTTTGATTGCAAAATAAAAGTGAAGTGGCAAAGCAAAAAGCCAGCCAATATACTATAATAACAACAACAATAACAGCAGCAGCAGCAGCGCTAAACTTAATAGAAATCAAAACCGTAAACGCTTTTGGGTGCCAAAGAACTTTCAGCTTCCTTTTCTTATTCACAGTTGGTTCACTGAACTCGCGAATTTATTTTGTTTTGTTGTTTTCTCTCTTTTTGCTGCTCTTCTTCGTTTTTGGTGATTTCTGTTTGTGTGTGTGTTGTGTGTGTGCGTGTTTAATTATTATTATTAATATTATTATATGTGTTGCTTATTTAATTAACTAATTATCCAAGTGATTATTTTGTTGTTTGATTTGCATTGGCGCCAAAAAAGTTGTCAACATGTTTTGTTAATTTCGCAAGCTAATTAATATTGAGACGCAACGTTTAAGCAAGCCGCCCCGCCCCGCCCCGTGGCTCGCCACTCTCCACTGATTCAACTCTTTGTTGTCTGGTCCCTCAAATGCAGCAGCAGCCAACCCTGGCCAAGTGCATTTCCCTGTTGCTTCTTTGTTCACGCTGCCACTCGCCCCATCCCCATTGGCGTTCCCTTACCCGGACGCTCCTGTTTCTTTGTTTCAGTCGTCAGCAGCCAATTTGCATTGGAGATTGAACAGACGACGACGACGACGCTAATGTTGTTTGTCTGTTTGTCGATTTCTGGGCAATCCCACAAGGGCGCTAATTATTAACAACGTAATGTACATCAAATATGTATGTATGTATGATGTATGATGTTTGGGTTAACGGCAATTTTTTCTTAAACGAAGATTCGTTTGAGATTTCGATCTCGATTTTGCTTTGAAAATCCAATTTCTGTCTTTAAATCCACATGTAACATTTTCATTTGGATTTTGAAACAATTAGATTTGTTGTGAGGAGCTCGCAATATATTTGTCCAATGCATTTTCAGCTAATACAAAATAACATCTTCCAGAGTAGTTGTAAAGTGTGAACTTTATTTGACCCTGTTATTTATGTGCTAATTCGCTTTAACAAAGTTAATTAGTTGTCATCACAAATCACTTAAGAGACGAGTTACATTTTGTTGTTGTTTTTTTTTCTTTTCGACTGGATAAATGCAAAATTTTGAATCTTAGGATGATTGTAATTAAAAAATGATTAATTTACTCAGTTTACAAATGATATATACGAATTGCAAGGACTTTCAAGACTTTTAAATTGATTTATTTACAAACAGTTTGAGTTGTCATTAAAGAAATTCATTTATGGATAACAAAGCGAGTATTATTTACGTGAATAGCAATTTGAGTGTATGAGTGTGTGAATGCAACTCCATTCACTGTAGTTAAATCATTACTATAAAACGATCCGTTTCAATGAATCAATTACTCGTTGAATGGGCGAATTGAAGTTAATATTCATCCTCTCAATTTTCTCACTTATGCTACAATATGTCACACAAACATATGTCGTATATATACATATATATGTATACATCGATATGTAACTGTATGAATACCCAAAACCTATCCTCAATTATCTACTAACGATAGCACAGAAATGGCCAATGAATCAGCTTTTGGAAGCCAGCTGTTAATTGGAAAAGTTACGTTTGCTTCTTTCAGTGTTGTTGCCGATTAATTGAATTTCTTTTTAAATACGAAACTTTCGTTCTCTATCTATTTGAGAATGTTAGATAACGATTTGAATTATTTCTGAGCTTTTCAATCGCATTAATAATTTCCAATATTCAATTTGTACAAATAATTGAAAGGGAGTTAAAAATAAATTGTTGACAAATGTTTTGTTTTGTATTTCATTGTCACAAAAGCAACTAAAATTGTCAACACTGTTTTGGAGTGTTTGTTCTTCTGTCTCGCTCGCACGCGCAGCGATAATGCCATAAATCATTTAGTTGCCAAGAATGATAATGCTGCCAATGCTGCACATCATCATCACTATCATCATCATTATTATTATTTTTGTTATTATTATTGATTGGTAGCGAGTGAGAGTGAGAGTAATGTCGGGTTAATACTCACCCAACATATTCATCCAGCTCACGTTTTACCCTTTTCCTTGTTTGCCTTGCCTATTGCGGACCATGGCAATGTGGTTCTCGTTGTTGGTTGACTGAAATATGTATGGCGTTGCCAAATGGAAATCAATAATGCAAATGTAATTGTGCTCTCTTTCTCTTTCTCTCTCTCTCTCCCTCTTTCGCTCTCGCTTCGCCTTTGTTTTGGCTTTTGCATAACAGTTGCTGCTATTTGTTGTTGTTGTTGTTGCTGTCGCATTTTATATTGGCTACAACAAAAGAAAGAGAAAACAAGAACAAAAATATAACTACACACTGCACATGCATTAATAATCATTTGCCTTTGTCTTTTATCTTTGTGCGGGAAATCTGATATACTCCTCCTCGTGTATATATTCAAAAGGGAGCAGAGAGCAGACAGACAGACAGAAAGACAGAAAAGCCAAGAACGGCAACGCAGCAATTAGATTGAGGTCGATACCGTTCTGGCCCACGACGACACTTGGCAGACGTCGCTGGACATAATCGTTCAATGACAGCAGCCACAATCGCTGCCTCTGCCGCCGCGGCGTCGTCGTCGTCGTCGTTGTTGTCGTCATCGTCGCCGTCCGCCGCAAGGAACGTAACGTGCAGTTAACGCCCAGCAGCAAAAACAGCGCCGTAGTCGAAACCGGAGTCAGAGTCACAGTCGAAATCGAAGTCAAAGTCGAAGTTGGGTTGTCCTCTTTGCACCCGGTGAGTACAAGGACAAATACTGTTTTTGACCCGAGTCTGTTGACCTTTTAATAGTTGGCGACGACAACAACAGCTTAACGCCAAGGATCAGAAAGCACCTAGAACACACCGCATATTACATTTACTCTTTACAGTTGTGTCTTTCACGTAGATTACATACCCGGATTGCTGGCCGGAGTTCAATTTCATTATACATTTTTTATAAAATCCCAATCGATTGTTCCTTTTGGTAGATAGATAGTTATGATATAGTAACTAATGACCTTCGTCCGCAGGTCTTGGTGAATCGAAATATGGCTGATGCCATAAGTCATAATTTGACCGCTTCTTCCTATGTATATTTACTATATGTGATTTACTGCTCCGATCATTGATTCATCATTCAATGCATGACTTTTAGGTTAGGTTTTATTTTCAAGAACTGCAAACTTTCAAAATAATTTCGACTTATTTAAGAGACGACCAAAAAAAAAGTTTTACTTCAAAAATTGTTGAAAAAAATGACAGGATTTATATATTTCAATATTTGTATATTTAATATGCTTTAGTCACTCAACTAAATACATATTTATATATATTTGCAGCGGGTCAATTCACAGCCAGTAAGAAGTGTACTTCTCTGTGAGTGAGAGAGAAAGAGAGAGAGATACGGACCGAGAGAGAGAGAGAGAGACGTTGAGTTTCAAACAACCAGCTAAAAAAGCCAAGCCAAACCACACGCCCAACGTAAACCGCAATACGTCAGCAACTGGAATATTAACTGCAACATTAACAGTTGCAGTGTAACAGTAACATTAACATTAACATTAACAGTTCGAGTTGTGCATAGCAACAACAACAACTAGCAAGCAAGAACAATGGTCAAAACCTTTCAAGCCTATTTACCGTCCACAAATCGGACCTACTCATGTGTTCATTGCCGGGCGCATCTCGCCTCACACGACGAGCTCATCTCGAAGTCGTTCCAGGGCAGCCAGGGGCCGGCCTATCTATTCAATTCGGTGGTGAATGTCGCCTGCGGCCAAACGGAGGAGCGTGTCCTGCTCACCGGCTTGCATGCGGTCGCCGATATATATTGCGAGTGCTGCAAGACGCCGCTTGGCTGGAAATATGAGCATGCGTACGAGTCCAGTCAGAAGTACAAGGAGGGCAAGTTTATTATTGAGTTGGCGCACATGATCAAGGAGAATGGATGGGACTGAACGATGGTGGCGTGTGGCACGTGAGCAGAAGTGGCATGTGGTGGCGCGGCAGGCTGGCAAGGATAACAGTTAACAGCGGAAGCAGCAGCAGCAGCAGCAGTAGCAGCAGCAGCAACAACATTGACAGTTGATTGGCGTGGAGTGCAGCAAAGTGCAAGAAATGGCTTTTGGAGCAAGCGAGTGCAAGCGAGAAGGCAACACACAGCAGACAGCAGGCGAGCGCCAGCGATCGAGCAAGCGAGCGAGCGAGCAAGAAAGAGACAGAGAGAGAGAGAGAGAGAGTCGAGTCGAATCAGAATCAGAATCGAAGTCGGAGTCAAGTTGAGAGTTCGAGAGTTTTAGGGTACCACAACATATATATGCTATTATATAGTACATAACTCGTCGTATCTTATAGAACACAACAAACACACACACACAGACACACACATGGAGACAGCAAGCACATCATTACATCTACATCTACATCTACACAGACCCACACACACATACACACATACAGCTCCTGATGGGCTTGGAGAGATCTCTGCGCTGGCAGCAGCAGCAATTTGAACTGATGCCATCTATATATATCCTGGCCTAGGCGCATAGACTTTTATTGTTGTAGATTTCGTTTCCTTTTTTTTTCTATTTTTTGTTTGGCTTTTAAAAATGTCTATTAAATTATTTAAATTAGCTGCTTGAAAGTGCTTGGCATATATTTGAAATACTTATTTGTATATATATATATATATTATATATATATATATACTACTTACTTACTTACATATTGTACGCGTGCATGTTTAAATGCATTACTCTCATTGTTGTCTCAATTCGACTGTTTTGCAGTTTTGAGTTTTTTGTGCAACATTTTTCTTTTTTGTTGCCAACCAACACAAAAAAAAAACGTGCACTGCCAATAAACGAGAAAAATGTTTTCAAAAAGAAAATGCGACAAACAACAGCATGCAAATTAAAATGAACACTTTCATATACATACAAAAACACACACACACACACACACATGTACACACACACAAACACAAATTTTCAATGTACTAGTTATTTAATAAAATATTTAAAAAATAATTATTTAATGCAATTTAGCTTGATAAACTGCATAAGCTATGTATTTGAAAAAAAAAACACAAAGCAAAAACAAAAAGCGCAAGGAAATGCAAAAAAAAAAAACAAAACAAGAAAAGAATTCAAATATACAATAGCAACTTAATAACCATTGCAGCAAGCATTAAAAAAAATTAAACAGAAACAGCAAATTGTGAATGCCAATAAATTAAAAAAAATAATTAAATAAATAATAAGAAGCAACATTAAAATAAAATGCAAGCAACGTGAAGAGTAGAAAGAACAAACGCTAGGTGGCGCCACATCAACTTATAACGGTTTAAATCTAAGTTTTGTATTAATTAGTTTAAAACTATATATGTTCTCCTGTAATATTAGGGTGCCGCGAGCAGAGCAGATTATAGATGGGGTGGTAGGGGCATGAACAAATTCATGAAAAATGCAAAGCAAATTTATATTAATATTTGTGAACGAAAGAAATAATATAAAATACACTCGCAATTTGCGTATAAATGTTGTCGCTAAAAAATAATCGTATATTGAATATATAATTGAAACAAACATGAGAGCAAACAAACACAAAAACAATCTTAAATCAAAGAAATGCTCGAGGAGCAGAGGAAATTTTTTAAAATAACGAGTACATAAACGAAAATATGCAAAATAACTGCCAAGAACTATTCGAGTTAATGATGTTCTCTAAGTAGTCATAACTATATGTATATATATATATATATATATATACATATGTATGTATATATATATGTATATATAAATATGCTATATATATATATAAAAGTATATTTTGTGGTAGCATTAAAAACAAACGAATAACGTTATCGCATTGCATTGAAGCGATGATAAACAAAATCAAACAATAAATGAAAATCTCTTCAACAAATTTGCCTCAAAAAAACAAAATCAACAATTAGTTTTTATTTAAATTACTGTGCTGGTTGCATTACTTAATGTTTATCGTCAACAAAATAAAATGAAAAACAAAATAAATAAAAAATTAACAACAAAAACTAAATTTCATTTCAACAAAATAAACACTCATCGATATTAATTAAAAATAGAAAACTATATTCTATATAAGAAACAATTAGTTTGATTTCAGTTAACATAGAAACTTCCCAGAAAATCACAAATGATAACAATTTACAATAAGGTGTTTATTATTATTAATTGAAAACAAAAACAAATTAGCTACATTTTTGAATGCGTTTGCGAATATGAACAATAATTATGTATTTAAAAAAGTATAACCTGAACCAAAGCTTTTAATGGAGATGTGCTACATTATTAAACATTCATATTTATTCCCTTCCAATGCTAAAAGCTAAGCTGATCAGAGAACCCAAATTGAATTCGTTATTAATTAAAGCTACGAGCTAAATGCGATTTTGTAATATTTTCAAACAGCGATTTTGACAACTCTTTCTGCAAATAGTCACATGTTAGTCACTAGATGGAATCAATCAACCCAAAAAACAAAAACACCTTCAGCCACAAGTTCAAGTTCAAAGAACATAATAATGCATACATTATTCTATTGTACTTATAAGAATTATTCAATATTACATCTACGAAGTTCAAAAGATTAATTGAACTTGCAACTTAACAGAAACTCACACGATGTGTTTATTTATTTACATGCTAAACGTGATATGGCAACTTGCAAAATATATTGATGTAAAACATACATAAGAGATTATACATACACAACAAGAACAACAACAACAAACAATAATTCATTGTAGCTGATTTTAGTTGATATGATGGATATTTATGTATAACATACATAAATTGAGCCACCTCAATGTGTATATCTTGATGTGTGATGATCTCATCAAGATAGATCCGTTTTGATATATACATTGAACGCAAGGAAACTGAACAATGTGAACAAATATGATCTGCATATATTTATATACAGATGACGTATATTTGGCATATAATTGGTTCAGTTTTCTCTAAATAGTATTTGCATGGGGTGCATGAGTTTCAAGCCAAAATTTCCGACTGTCCGTCTGTCTGTCTTGGCAAACTAGTCACTCAGGACTCAATGTACATATATTCTGAATGATTAATGAAGTACATTTAAATTTAATATTTAATGCTCGCAATGAAATTGCCATGAAATTTAATCTAAGACAAATGTCCGAGTAAATTGGTGTCAAATGAGCGCAGAGCTCAACATGCTGGTGTAAGTGTTGTAGGTGTATAAATATCTATATATATATCTATATCTATACATATATCTATATCTGGATAATGTTACTGTGCAAGAGCATTCCATTCAATTCAATTCGTTGTATTAGCAGGTGGATGGCTTACTTCCACTTGTTCTGTGAGTAATCCCATTTGGAGGAGAGTCCAGTAATTGGCTCGATTTGCAGGTGTATAATGCGACGTAGTTGCGCCTGGCGGCGCTCCTCTTGGAACGTCTCCGGATATTCATCATATCCGGCCGAATTGATTATCAAAGCGATGAGAATTGCAATCGCCGTCGACCACAGACCGATGCCAACGGCCAGCTTCCACTCGGGCGTGAAATGCTGAAACTCGGCATATGTCTGACAGAAACTGTGACGATATAGCAACTTCTTATCTGGCAGCGTTAGCTTCTTCCAATCGCCCAGCTCTTTTTCGCGCAGTGCACAGATCGCAGAGTCCACCACGCGATAGCGAATTGCCGGAAATGGAAAGTCGGCACAATCAATATAACAGGGCGTGCCATTGATGCCATAACCAACCAACTCACGTCCGCCGCCCATGGCTCGAGTGGCGTCGTGATGGGTAAAGCGGCGCGATATAGTCGAGACCCGATCAGTCCCTCTTCCCGCACCCGGCAGACGCACGCCGGCGAAACGTAACAAGTTCATCCTGCCGTAGAAGTGGGTGGCTTTGTCTGTTGGCTGTGATTGTTGTGTTTTTGAAAATGGGAATGGGAAAATGTTGGGCTGTTGGTTTACCTGAATCTAGGTCGTCGTCCTCGTCGTCGACGTCGTCCCACAATTTGTTAGCAATTTGCTGAATCTTTTTTTTTTTCGTATTTTGGTTTCTTTTTGTTTGTTTCGAATTTATGCCTGTGTTTTAGATGCAGGCATATAATTCTTACTGACTGTCGTTTTTTATATTTTATTCGGACAGCTAGCCAGGGTTGTCGGCTCTCGCACACAGCATGCGTTTGTGTATTGAATCAAGGTTGGCGATGAAGGGCAGAGGCAAAGGCCCGTCAACAAAGTCGGCAAGTGTCGACGAACAAAATAAAAAATGCCAGAAACTAAACCAATAAGAATGAAAACCGTATTTGTACACAAGCCAAACATTTTTGAAAGAGCGGCAAGAAAGCCAAAAGACCCAATGATCAACTGAATTAAAGTCAAAACTAAAAGAAGTTTAGAAAATGCGTACTATTTTTTTAATAAACATTTTTCCATGAATGTAGATTTCAAATATATATCCATATATAAATCTACCATTGGTACCAAAAGTGGAAATTGTAAAAATATTCGTTTTTTTGTGCTTAAATTGAGTAAAACATATAGTTTTATATATGTACATGTAGGACTGATTATGTCCTGTTTATTATTAATATAATAGTTATAAATATATTACAGTGAAGTATGAGTATTTAATTTACAGCGTTATGTTCGACTTTATAAAACAACGACTTATTTACAACTTTACAACATTTGCGACCATCTCGGGACTTTGACGACTTCTTATTGACGATCTTAACGCTGCGCCTCACGAACTCGTCTCGCGCTCTGCGCGCGTTCTTCTACGACTCTTCTTATACGACTCAGGTTTATGCTGCTGTTGGACCTGTTAACCAGCGCTGCCACCCAACAGCACTGTAATCCCACAGTAACAACTTGTTACATACATAATAATGGAATGCAACACAGAATTCTTTTCAAACGATTCTACATATCACAAAATCAATCACATATTTTTCTCTGTGGATTATATTTTGCATACACTAAGTTAAATCCTACAACTCTATTGTAATTATATATGTATGTCTAATTTGTAGAATTGTCATTTAATTTTCTCATTTTGATTTGACAGCCTAGTTTTTATTTACTTGTCATTAAATGTCACAGAAATTTCAGATTAGAAAAAAATCCAAAACTTAAATCGAACCTAATCAACCCGAATATGTTTGTAATGTTAATTATTTACAAGCAAAGGAAACAGTATATAAAATTTGACAAACTTGAGAGCATTAATCTTATTAAATAAGATAATAATTAACAAAAGAAAATAACTGAATTAAAAATACTGTACACATTAATAAATTAAATAAAATGTAGTGTAATTAAATAAAATTTTAAATTTTAAGGAAACTTTAGATATCAATCTATATGCAAAATATAATAACAATAAATTATATTTACAATATAAACTGAAAGTGAAAGTAATAAAACAATGAAATCAAATGTATAAGCAAACCAATCGCCAATGTAGTATTATGTGGAAAGTATCTTAACTAAAGAAATGTTTTATGTCTTTGTGACTAGTTGTATGTACGACCTTGATAAGCAATTGTGGATTAATATATCAAATACAGGATGTTGGAGTTTGAATTGAATTTGAATTTCAAGTGACAAAAAGATGAACTAAAAATATGGTCAACAAATATTTTATTATCGTAACCTCTGCATTTCTGCATCAATTGTAACTTTTATGTACATATATATATAACAAAATTAATATCAGGTTTAACCCGAGTATTTCTGCAGTTATGAAGGCACACATATGGTATGATGCAGTCAGATTTGACTGGTCAATGGTTAGTTGATTTGTGATGATGCGCTGCTGGTGGGGGCAGCCTATATGGACGTATGAAATTCATTTTCGTTTTCAGAGTGTCGGGCATCAGGGTACCGGGCAGCAGGCAACGCAGAAACCAGTATGTTAAATAGCCGGTTATGCCCCAGATACGGAGCTGATCTACCACAAAGGTAGGTCCGCTGTAGCCACTGCGGAATTGGGTGTGGCGGGCAACTGTTGGCCTTATTAGGGTGTTGAGCGGTATACTGAAGGCCTCCTCCACCTCATCCAAGTTCAGTTTTAGTTGGGTGACATGAAAATCGGGCACTAAGCCCACAACAGGCACAATGCTGGCGGTGCGTGGCAAATGAAGCGCACTGGCCTCGCCCCAAATTTGAATGCGTTCTCGTGGCAGACCAATTTCTTCCTCCGTTTCCCGCAGTGCGCATTCCTCAAAGCTGGCGTCACTTTCATCTCGCTTACCGCCCGGAAATGATATTTGCAAACTGTGGCTACGCAAGTGGCGGGATCGTCGTGTGTACAGCAACGAAATTTCATTGCTGTTGAACTTGATAATTCAAATTATTTGCGGCTTTTAAAGGGCTCTCGTTCTACTTACCTATGTTGCTCCAGGCATAGCGCTATCAGCACGGCGGCTGAGTTCTTTTCGTTCCTGTTAGGAGTCAGGGATTTGGGACGCGGAAAGGCGGGCACATTTCGTAGTTGCTCCATGCAGCGCTGACGTTGCTCTTCTGTCAGCAGCAAAGAGAAATCATCCTCTGTCAAAACAGTGGAATCTGTTACAGCGGCACTGCTGTGTCTGTCTCTGCTTTGTCGGCACATCAGCTGCTGCATACGGCAAATTGGTGACCAAAGTATACGCTCTCTTCTCAAACATATTTTGGTGAAAGTCATATTTGAAGTTATTAATAACTCGAGCAAACAGTTCGAATATGTGTTGAACCTTGAACTGTTATTTTCCGAAGATCAGCTGTTTTTACTATCGCGTGGGAAGCTAGCAGTTATATAAATGTATCGATATTTGTATCGATGTTCGTGCGATGTATTCAACAGAGTTGCCAATTATCGAGAAATATAAAAAGTATAGAAAAATAAATTTAAAAATTATTGCAATGAATTATTAAAATTCAATTCGTCAATATGTGTGTCATTTTAGCCATATAATATTTGTCTGCCTATAAGGCTCTATTGGAATCGGTGAAACCGATTAACAGTATTCATTTTAGCACATATGCATTGCCAATACAAAACCATATTTTTTGAAAATAATTTTATGAAATTTTTGAAAATAGGATAGATATCCGGATATGGTCTATTTGTTGATTTGTATTCCCAAACTAAAAAGGGACAGACTTGTCCGATAAAAGGACAAGACGTCAACTGTTGTATACGCAGTTATATACAATGGGTAAATCAACTTTTTAGAGCGTTTTCTCGTGAAGAGGACACATTCGGACCCATAAAGTCTATATATATTCTTGATCAACATCACTAGCCGAGTCGATCTGTCTGCTGTCGGTTTCGTTATTCCTCAGTTTTTGCTGCAGGCTGTAAAGTTTTCCTAATCAGTCTCATCATCAATCTCCTAAAATTTTAAAACAAAATTATCAACATTCGCATAAGCGAAATTTTTGTTAAGGCTTGGTGAATGAATACTCGTCAAAGAGTTTAAATTGGAGGTCACACCCTCTGGAGGACTGGGAATCCGACAACACATTCATAAATCCCGAAAAGTAAATCGATTTATTTATGAAGGTTGGCTTTTCTTAAAGATCGACCAATATATTTGTGGATCACGCCAACCCACGTAGCCTCCAGAAACTTATATCGGGCACAGTTTTATAGAATATAGAAAATAGATTACCACTAATGGTAATCGTAGTTTTTTCTTAGCCAGTTTCCAAATTTCTTATGGTTGAACCACGCACCCCCCACCCACACAAAGAACTCGTCCCAAATGTGTTTCAAATTAATACATATTTATTGATGAATACTTTTACTTTTGCATAATTTACTTTTTGTCTATGCTATTTGCCATTCTACATAAGAAGCTTTTACATGCAATCAATTGAATTAGCTTTTCTTGCAATGCTCGTCGTGTATTCGTCATTTATTTATTTTATATTATTTTTTTATGTTTTTTTTAATACACACAACAATTAAAATGAAATGTTCGTGACATTATTTTGCCAATCTTTACTTAAATATTCGTTAAATGATGCAGCTAATTGGTTTGGTATGTATGGTGTACAACTCACACACACATGCAGAGAGACGGTGTATATATGTCAGTATGTGTGTGTGTGTGTGTGTGCATGAGAAATGTGTGCAAATGTAAGCACCCTGTGGCCAGCAAAGATAATAAGTGGGTTAGGCGCAATCATCGTATTTCATTATGTACACAATTCCATCTATAAATCAATTTGGCTAAATTATAGCATATGATTTGGATTTCAGCATTAGTTTAAGAGAGTGCTGATTTACAAATCGGATCAGTCAGATCGCTTAAAATAGTGTGCTACGTAAATTGGAGCGAAATGGAATTGAGCACATGATGTGCATATGCAAGATACAGATACAGATACAGATACAGTCCATATGGACAGTGATGTGATCATCAATACATCGATTTTTGTTCGCATTGTGTATTTTTGTATTGCATTCGAGTCTGCAGCGAGTTTAAGTGCGAGCTTGCAAAGAATCGACATTATTGTTCTTTAGCTACTTCTTATTTGAATAAGCTTACACTAACAAAATATTTCTTCATATATATATCATCTCTCTTATCGCAGCCAATTGCTGCATTGAACGATACACACGCATCATTGCCAGCTTGTTTAATATAGAACATGTGCACTTGTTATATACATACATATGTATATTAAGTTTGCATAATAACATTTTGCTGGGTTCCCCTATTGAAGGGGAACCCCCACTTAAAACTAGAACCGATATAATGCATTAAACATTATTGAATTGTATTTTTTTTTGGTTTTCGGTTTCCTTTTTTTTTTTTTTTTGTTCTTGGGCTAAACGTCATATTTTCGATTTTGCACGATTGCAAAATTGTTGTGGGTAGACTGAAAAAAAAGTGTATTTTTTTCTCATTCATTTCGCGAAAGCTTGGCCAAGTTGCTTGTTCACGACATACTAGAATTGAGCTAATAATTTAGTTTGACATTGGTTTACTTTGTATATACTTATGACATGTTTCAACTTAACTTAACTTCAACGAAAATCTTAAGATCTCAATTCAAAAAATAATCGTTTTTTTTTTGTGTTCAATAAATTTCAACTATTAATAACCAATGCAGAAAATTTAATCTAAGTTAATTTGGTTTAATTCTTATTTTGTTTTCAGCAAATGTTGCTCATATGTCTTGCGTTTTTATTTTTGAGTTTTTTTTTTCTGCAAAAATTGAGAAATTGTGATTGGTGTGTAAATATTTGAACTATATAGTATATAATAAATCTCATCGTTTGTTTGTTTTTTTTTTTGTACTTTGTTAGAAATTCACGCAGATATGCTGAAATTGTCCAACCGAGTTCTTGCTGCCTCACAATACAAAACCATTCCATTTAACGAAGTACCAATCATCCCAATACCATGTCCATGTCCTAGCCCCTAACCTTAGCCATACTACTTAATTCCAGCCATATTCTTCTATCCAGTCCCACAAACTATGCATCTGTGCCATGCAACAAGCTTAGCCAAGTCACTCATACATATTCTCATACCTAATTGTCGTTTACCTGGCCTGCCTGCCTGCCTGCCACTTTACTAAACTTTGAAAATTTGTTACTGATTATTTGTATTATGCTTATCCACCTAAAACTTAGTTGTACATATTAAATTAATTTATGTCGTCAAATGAAAGAACATAAATAATGCCTTAGCATTTGTATAAATTGCACATGATTTTGAGTTACTAAGTTCATAAATATATATTTTGGACAATACAATATACATTTATCATATATAGACATGCCTAGTTATATTTTGCTAGTAAAACTGTTTGATTGATTCCAGTTTTTCTTAGTGTGAGTGTGTGTGTGTGTGTGTGTGTATTCTGCAATTCATATTTATATATACATATATATATTATATATATGGTTCCCCATATATACACAATATTACTTTTGCAATTGGCACATAATTACTAACAAAGTCGAATTAATAATATGAAAATTGTTTGGTATTTTTGTTGTTTTTGTTGTTGTTTTCGTATTGTTTTCGCACATGATGCAAACAGCGAGCGAATTTGCGACAGCAAGTTAACATACTGTTAACATACAGTTAACATAGCCGATCGCTAAATTATGTTTAGCGGAAATTCAAATGAAAAATGAAAAAAAAAAATACTGAAATGAAATGAAAAATAAAAGTCGGCTTGTTGAACTAAACCATTAACTAAGTATTTATTGAAATAAAATAATGATAATTGCAATTATGTTCATTTCATAAAGTTGATTAAGACAAAAATATAACTCCACAGATAATAAACTTTTGCTACAAACTAATTGCATTACGATTTCTTATACAAACTACATTTGTTGTAAGTAGTAATTCTTCATGTTTTGTGTAATTGTGTGATCGAAACGAAAAATAAAATATGATTCAAGTTATAATTTAGCTGTTGCACTCGGCATTTTAATTTTAACAAACGCAAATTCGACAAAACAGAAATAGTGTTTTGAAATCTTAAAAATTATTTAATAGCGTAATTCATTTATTCTTGAAATCATCGTATTTCTTTTTCAGCCTAATTTCAGCTTGATAAAAAAAAAAAAAAATGAAAAGATTAATATATATATATATTTATAATAATAATTGTAATAATATTAATAAAGAAACACAATGTTGGTGATTATTTGCATACTTGTAATTATAATAATATGTAATAATAATAGTAATAATAATGATAATTATAATAATAATGATGACAGAACGTTGCGCAATCCAAGCACAAACAAAATGACGATTTTCTATTAAGGCAAATTAGGTTTCCAGCGCCCAACTAAAGGCGCTGCTAAAAGGCAACGCGAGCATTGCCCCAAAAAGTTAACATAACATAAAGCTGCTTAAGTCGCATATGCAACGCGATTCACTTGTGTGTGTGTGTAGGTGTGTGTGTGTGTATATATGTAAAATTGAATTGTACGTTTTTATAATTAGTAATATTATTTTTTTTCCTTTTCTTTTTTGTTGTAGTTCATAGCGCTAGGCATTGTTTGTTGGCTTACATCAAAGTTACCATTTGAAGATTTCTTTTGCTTTACCATTTTACATTTTAAGCTTAATTTAAACATTTTAACTAAATGAATTATACATAAATGATTTTGGGGACGTGGGATGGGGGATTGGGGGATTGGTGGTATAGCTGATAATGACAATTAATAAAGACGATGATCATGTTGATGTTAAGTATCTTAAAATTAATTTAACAGCTCAACGACTTTTTCTCTGTTGTTGTTTCAAACACTTTCGAGTTAGAGGAGTGAGGGGGCGGGGTGGTGTGGGGTGGGGATTATTCGTGACGCTGCCACATTGTAAACAAATTTAAACAAATTAGAAAAAAAAAACGGAATTTTGCATCTATATGTGTACAGTGTCTCACAGCTCAAAAGACCCAATGTCTAGCAAAAAATTTAACTGCTTGCCATAAACTAATTATCCAACATCAGGAAAATAAGGGAAAATCCAAAGCTATCGGCTCCAAAACTGACTCAACAGGTGCAGGATGAAATGGGGAAAAAGTGCAGTGTGGAAACTGTGCGCCGGGTTCTGCGCAACCATGACTTTAATGCCCGAGTACCACGGAAAAGCCCTTTATAAGCGCAAAACATAAAGGGACTAGGATGACATTCGTCAAAATCCACTTGGACAAGGATTTGGGGTTCTGGAACACACTCATATTTGAAGATGAGCCCAAATTCAACATTTTTGGCTTAGACGGACGGAATTATGTGTGGCGACTGCCCAATACTGAGCTGAGTCCCAAGATCCGATCTCAAGAATGCTCTGCTGGATGAGTGGAGCAAAATCAGTCCAGAAACGACCCGGAAGCTGGTATCTTCCATGAATAATAGGTTAGGGGAAGTTATTAGGGCTAAAGGATATCATAATAAGTATTAACATCCTTATTTAAGTTTTTATACGCCTAATATGTTACTTTTCTAAGACTGTCGAAATAAGATTTGACCTGTATTTTGGATAAGATTTCAGTTTTGGACTAATTTTAGTTAATTAATTAATATTTTAATAAAAACTAAAGTTAATTTTTCAAACGTCATATAACATGAAACAAATTGGCATTTAAACATTTTGCGATCGTTTCTTTGTTTAAACCTTATAGCACTTTAAAATTTTTGCTAGACACTGGGTCTTTCGAGCTGGGAGACACTGTATATGTATATGCGTATTTGTTTTGGTTGCTGTTCTTTTACTTGTTTCTTGCAACTGTTAACTAATAAATGCAACAAAGGGTAAACAGTTATAGTTGCACCTAAGCGGCCGTATCCACCTCCTCGACTATGTGGTTAGGTGAGACCTCATTCGGCGGTGCTGTGGCTGCAGCTGCAGCAGCAGCAGCTGCTGTTGTTGTTGTGGTTGTGGTTGTGCTGCTGCTGTTGTTGCTGCTGCTGCTGCTGTTTGGCGTTGTGTTGGCGGCCTGAAGGGGTGCTGAAGGGGTGGCCACCATTGCGCTGCCTACGGGGCTGCTGTACTGTGATGACTGTGGCACCACCGCCTCAACGGTGGAGCTCGATGTCGAGGAGGTCGAGGTGGAGTTGGAGGTGGAGGTGCTGGAGGTCGACGTTGCCAGTGTTGCAGAGTTCACTGTACCGTTGTACGGCGAACTCTTCAGTTTGCGTGCCTCACGCTTCTGCTTGCGCTGCTGCATGACCAGTCGCAGCTGATCCAGTTTGGATTTTGTCTTCAGATTGGTCTGCTCCACAACGCACTTTTGGCACATGTGTTCCCGCTTCGGCTGACCACCATCCTCGGCGCTGCTTGCACGGTAGCGGCACATGCAGCCGCCGCTGCCACTGCCGCCACTGATGACATCCGAGTTGCCACCACCAAGCGTATTGGCAGCCGTAGTGCTGGACGCATCGGTGCAGCAGCCAACCAGTGTGGATGGCTTGCCATTGCCAGCGGTTGCGCCTCCCTTGGCCAGGTAATGACCTTTGCATTCGCCATAGGCGCAGCTGCCGCTAGACAAACTTGCCGCTGCCACTGCCTGTTGCTGCTGCGCGCGGCTGTTGCACTTGGCACAGTTATGATGTTTCGTCGAGTACTGCAACAGAAAGAGATCACGAGAATTTGTCAATTAAATGGCGGACACAAAACAAATGATGCCACAAATGGCCAGGGCAGGGTTAGGTTAGGTTGGGGCGGTTGTCGGCGGGAGTGGGCAAAGCGTGGGCACGCTCCCCTCTCCTCCTATCCACTTGGGGCTCTGCTGCAGTCCGTCCCTATGAAAACTGGCTAACCAAGACTGTGGTCCCATCCTGTGGCTTGGATGAACTCTGGAAGCAGAGAAGACGTAGTCTCTGCGCCTGCCCAACATTTCCGCAGCGCAGTTTCCCTCCCTCCAGTGAGGTGGGCAGTCTCGTAAAGAGATCCTGGCAGTTTGGCTGTCTGAGCAGATGCTGATTGTTTTCCCCGACTTCCTGGGTTGATGGCAGATAAAGAGCTTCCTTGATCGCAGATGCCTTCACTTGAAAGACACCACAATGAACAGGTTTAAGACCAGTTGCTCGAGGAGATCCCCCCATTTGTACGAGGAAACCTATTCGTATTGTGTAGACCTATTCAGTCCGGGTGATCCATTTGGGCATTCCTCCCTGGTTGGAATTATCTTGTGAACGTTTCCCAGAACTCAGAAAGAGACAGAGAGAGAAGCAGAGGCAGATACAGATACTCACAATTTTACTACGCACGCCATGGTGCAAGCCACCAGGTGGTGGTGCAGCTGCTGCTCCAGGATTTGCAGCTGCTGTGATGGCTGCGTGACCGTTGCTGTTGCTAGTGCTGCTGCTGGAAGAGGTTGTGGAACTTGAGGATGTGGAGGCGCCGCCACTGGTGGGTGCCTCAAAGCTGATGCGTGCGGCGCGGCTGTATTGAGGCGTGGCACTCAACAGATCGTTCAGTATGTGAATTACTGTCGAAATGTCACGCTTTGGCCGTCCAAAGCGATCCTGCAGCGCCGGATTGAGTGTGCCCGAAAATGTGCCCGAGTAGATGCCCTTGCCGTGATTCTTCATCGACTCAATCACAGCGCCGGAGCCACTTTTGCGTGGTGTTTCCTCACCGCCGGCGAGACCAGCACCGGCACCAACACCGATGCTCCCGCCACCGGCCAAATCGATCTTGTTGGTGAACACCTCTTTGGAGAGCTTTCGCAACGTTTGGGTCAAATTGCGCGATGCCTCCGCCAGTGTCCGGGTATCCGAAACGGCCAATCCTGCGGCGGATTCCAGCTCAGTGCTGACACTGCTACTGTTGCTTGCAACCATTTTTGTTGTTGTTGTGGTTGCTGCTGTTGCTGTTGCCATCGTTGTTGTGGTTGTCCCACTTTTTGGGGCTGCCAACTGGGGCTTGAGCGCAGCTGCTGCTGCTGCAGCCGCAGCAGCCGCAACTGCATGATGATAGTGATGATGGTGATGGTGGTGGTGATGGTGGTGCCGATGCTTCGACCGTGATATAGCAATCGTATTATTTACCGTCTTGTGCAGGGCACTGTCGCCGCCGCCAACGCACCCAGAAATAGTTGAAGCACGGCCAATGTTGCTGCTGCCAGCTGTTGGAGCAACTAGTGCTGCTGGTTGTGGGTCAACTGGTGGAGGCGGTAGTGTTGCTGTTGCAACGGTTTTTGTTGTCGGTGCTGGATTGGTTGTGGGCAGGCGCTTGCACAGGCACGAAGTGAGCTTGGCGGCTATCGGATCCTGCTGACAGCCACCGCTGGTGCAGCTGATGGAACTTGAGCTATGGGAGGAACTGGTGGTGGAATTGATTGAACTGGTGCCGGCACCGTGAATCGAGGTAGAGCCGCAATTGGCATTGTTCGACGAGCCGTGGGCAACATGTATGCTCTTAATGGTCGTTGTTTTAATGGGGCTCGAAACGAGATTCGAAAGCGATTTAATTGGCGACTGCTCCAGTTGTGGTTTCGACTGTGGCACTGCGACTGCATCTGCAACTGTTGCTGTTGCCGTCGCGGTTGCTGTTGCAGTTGCAGTTGCCGTTGTTGCTGCAGTCGCCGTTGCTGTTGCTGGTGCACTGAGTGGTGCCTGATTTAGTGCAATGCTCTTCACAATATTCTGGAGACTCTCGTAGTCGTGCTTGCTGAGAAATGAGCTTAGATCGGAGCTTTTAATTGACTGCTGTCCATGCCCCGAACTGCCTTCCGCTGTTTGTGCAGTGCTCAGGATGCGACTTCCAGCTCCAGCTCCACCACCACCACCGCCACCACCACTGCTGGAACGCTGCTCCATGTCGAGGAGCTTGCGTGTGCTGCTATTGCCAGCGCTGCCAGCGGCCACTGCCGAGGCGTTGTGGTGATGATGATGGTGATGGTGGTGGTGACTGTGACTGTGGTGCAGACTCGGATGCTGATGGCTGTGCACGTGTCCGTTGCCAATGCGACCACTTGCCGCTCGCTGGCTGCTGGAGCGTGTGCGCGGCGTATGCGACAAATGGTTGCTGCTACTGCTGCTGGAGTTGTTGTTGGAGGCAGCACCACTGCAACTGGAGGAGGACGACGACGACGTCGACGAGGAGGAGGAGGAGCTACTGCTGCTGGAAGCGGAAGACGAGCTGCTGCCACTGGTCGCTGGCGGCAGGGCAGCCGTCGCAGCAGCGCTAGCAGCGGTGCCACCAGCTGGATTAACAGTGCTCAACTGCAGCTGAATGAGCATCATGTGGTCGCCCAGTCGCATGCTCAGATTGAGTGGCGTCTTGCCGCTGAGGAAGTCATTAACCTGCGAGTCGTTAAGCGATTCCAGCGCCTGCATCACTGTATTCTCCGGACGCTGTGCCTGCAATCAGACATAAATATATATATATTCCAGATTAGTATATTTAGCTGAATACTGTAACTGCACTCGATTACTTGTTGGTTAGATCCACATTACAGATCAACGATGTGTTTTAATATATTTCGTCACTTTTTTCTTGAAGTTTAAAATATAATACAGGGCCAACACCGAGTTAAAATTGTGGATTTGAATATGGAGTTTTTCATTATCGATATTTTTTTTTTTTTTTTTTTATCTGTAAAGTGGGCTTTATACAGCAAGATATGATTTTTTTTTTGGCCACGGGGAATTTCAGTGGCATTTCAGTGCGATCGGGCGGCAATTCAAATAGCCAGCATAATCAGCAACGAATATCGAATATCGAATACTCAGACTTAAATGTAATCTACTATTAACAACATCATATTAATTATAACTATTATATTGCTGATAAAAGGGCCATGTGTATGTATGCTAACTCAATCAACCAACCAACAATTAGCAGAATTTAACAAACGATCGATTAGAAAATTCCTCAACTTCGATATACGAAATACGTGCAAGGAGTCCAATTAGAAGCTACTTGAACAACGGGATGGAATGAGAGTATCAGAGAGAAAATGAAAGAGCAAGAGAGAGAGATAGAGGGAGAGATAGAGAAAGAGGCAGAGATAGAGAAAGAGGGAGAGAGAGACAGAGGGAGAGAGAGATACACTGGTGAGCCCAGGGATCTGTACCTCTATTCAAAGTCGTATTATTTTGTTGACTGTGGCTGTGATCGTTAACCACTATGCGCGAATTATAAATCGCAAATTTACAATTTATGGGCGCTTTCCTTAGTATGATTACTTAGTAGTGTTTTGATCTTTGCACAAAAAAGTTTATTAAAAAAAAAAAAATATTGCGACAATTGTTCAATTTGGTTTTTTGCCCGCTTGCTGAACAAAGAAAGAAAAAACAAAACCAGCGACAACAACAAATAAGAAAAAAGTCGCCGCACTACGCACACCCTGACAAAGATTAACTTTATTTGGGAACAACAATGTTTTCTACATACTAAAAACAAAACAAAGAGACTTAGAATCATAATATCACATTGGGTTCGTAGTTCGGGCTCGATATATATATATATACAGTATATTAGAAAAACTATGATTAATCTTTAAAAAATGCAACTGCGTTTTAATGTGAATTACACTTAAACAGAATTCATTATTTATTTGAATTAATCAAACTAAACACACAAAATGAATAAAAATTGATTTAAATTTAAAAAAAAGAAAGAAATATTCATAAGACTGTATTAGCCTTCGTAAGGGTATAGGTATGAAAGCATTATTCAGTCGATGTCAACTCGATTTGTTATTTGAAGGTCTGGGTTAATTAATCGTTGCCAAGTCTCAAACAAAAACGCACATTAATACATACATATATATATATATATATATATATAAAAGATCGACTGCATGCACGCATGCATACACACATACACACACACATATATATATATATATATATTTATATATATATATATATTTGATCATTATTACCTGCTGCTGGCTGACACAGGCAGTGAGTGAGAGTGAGTGAGGAGCGTTAAGCAACAGTTATGCAACTTCTTTAACGGGGCTGCATAGCAACTACAAACTACAAATTTTGCGTATTTTTTATTTTTATTATATTTCTTCTCATTTTTATTTTATGTATCTCTTCTTTGACTAACTCTTCGAGGCCTATTGACTGGCCTTGGTATGGTTAAAGCTTGGTTTCACTTGTTGTTGTTGTTGTAAAATGTACCAAGGTCAGCTGACGTCGTCGTTGCGATTTGTCGCCAGCGCAGCTTACGTCATGCAGCAGCAGCAGCTTCGTCGTCAGCAATCAGCCGTCAAATTGTAAATTCAAAAATGTAAGCTCAACAACAATAACAAAAAGATGACAGGTGGCCAATTCGGTTATTTAAGAGCTTTGCTCCACTGTATTTCAAAAGCTTTCGGCTTACGGCTCTCTCTCCCTCTCTCTGTCTCTCCCTTCTCCCCACATACTTACTTTATTTCTTTCTCTCTCTCTAACGATTTATGTTGCACTCCCTTAATTTTTACTATTGCTACGACACAATTTGTGATATGCATGCATGTCTGGGTCTATCTGTCTATCTAGGCGAGCAATGCAAAAAAAAAAAAGTGCATTATAAACAAGAAGAATAAAGAAACTAAGAAACTTAGAAAACAACAACTTAGAGATAGAGACGGACACGGCTATATTTAAATTAAACTAGAATAATATCATCTGCAAAGTGCAGATGTTTGTTTCATTGTATCTATTAAATGGTTGTTTTTTGTTTTCTTCAATCATAGACATTATTTCTATGTTGCTATTTATGTGTATTTAGCAAAACGTTTAATTAACATCGTTGATTGGCCTCGTTGCTGTGCCTTACAGTTGGCAAGTCATTGGACTTTGCACGTGCTCAAACAAAGTCAATTAGCATTGCTAGAACTGGACACAAAGCCACCACACTAACAAAGCACTTCGTCCACATGCATGTGTGTGTGTGTGTGTGTGCGTATGTGTGTTTTTGAGTGTTCATTCTGGGAACAAAGCTAAATTAATTTGTTAGTTTTTCTCCATTAGAATGCGAATGTGTGATCAGCATGTGTGTGCGTGGCGTGTGTTTGCTGACCATGAAAATATTTTTATTGCGTAGCTTTCAAAAACGATGTGCACCTACACATGTACCTACCACCCACCACCCGCCTCAGCTGTTCAGCGATCGTCACATGTATAAAACAAATAACTTGTGCCACACATCGCAGCGCTTAACTGATAAGAATTCCAATCCAACCAACGTCTGCGAACAACCCACCTCCGCCCGCCACATTTTTACCAGGCGACCACCCACTCCACTCTAAAGTGCATGTAAAAAATAATAAACGAATAGTTAACAACAAAAAGTACAAGAATAAACCAACGACTGATTCCACTATCAACATTTCACACATTCTTCAATTTTTGTACAGTTTGCAGACATGTTCAACAACATACTGTACGTTTAACAGTTGTAAAGTATGTTCAAAAACAAAACAAAAATGTTACTGTAAAAGTGTGGCCGAATTACATATTTCATTATTAGACAGATTAGTTTATTGATGCTGATCAAGTATATATATATATATATATATATATATATATATATATGGGATGAGGTCACACTTGACGACATTTTCGTAATGCCTTCTGCAAGGGTATGTCTTCTATGATTAAGCAATAACACAAAATATAACAAAGGCTGGCGGCTGGCGCCATCGTTCGCGACGAGTGGCTTCGTTTGTTTGCCTGCGCTGCGCTGGCGCTATGTTATCTAAGCAACAGCAGCAGCTGCGTTGACGTCGCTGCCTACTGCTTTTTTGCACTTGTTCAAGTACAGTTTGACAGGCATTAGCCGGCAAATGCCAGCAGCAGCTACATAACCGGTTTGTCTTACGAATCAACCAATTGCCATCGGTCGCTGTAGGTATAATAAAAACAACAAAAACAATGCCCAAGCCGAGAGTATGCGCTAGCAGATACCCCGTAATAGCTAAACGTTCTACACAGAGTAACTCATTTTCCGACCAATTGTTGTTCAACTGGTTGCATGCTAAATCAGTTGATAATACTTTATTCATTTGCTCTTTTACTCGCTGCTTTGTTGTGTTCATTTTTAACAACTGCCAAAATGTCTTATTTCAGCAGATTGACGCGAGCAAAGCAAGGCTTAAACAACAAAAACAAAAACAAGAAAAAAAGTTATAGTTAAGAGAGCCCGACTTGGACGTTTCTTATCTGATCTTAAGTTGATCAATAATAGTCAATGTCTTGGAATAGCGTTTGTTCACACGGACTGACACAGTTAGATGACATAGCTACATCGACTCCCTATCACATATATATATATATATATATATATATACTTTTTGGACTTGGAGATGCTTCCTTCTGCTTGTTACATACTTTGGCATACGACCATTATACCCTTTTTACCCAGTTTTAATGGGTGCGTGTATAATTACATTGGTATACTAGAGAATTGTTTAGAATTTAAGCGATTCATCCCTTGAACGGAATTCACAGAGAAGGGGAACTTTTTTCAACACAAAAAAGATAAAACCGGCTTTTGTAAATTGCATAAGCAACAATAGCGCCGCATGAATGTTCCTCCATGACAATCTATACGTTCCATCATATTGCGATAATTAATAATGCACTAGCTCTAAAACTGTGGTAGACATGGACTTTTCGATTTTGATCCGAGCTTTGAAACAGCAGCAATCTAGTGTCGAAATATAGTGACTCGTTCTAATATTGTGGACTACATGTATTGATTTAATCTGTTTGTAACTCGAATTCCAATCTTAATCCATTACCTGACTCATGAACTGAACGAGTTCTTATTCTGAGTCGATTTGAAGTCTCTAGCTGGAAGGAGCTGTAGGAGCAAAGGATTTCAAAAGATATCCGGACTAAATTCCCTAGTTATGAGTGTTATTATTATTGAAAAAAACATTTTGTTTTGTAATTTATATTATATATTTGCCTTTGTCATTAATTTCATTGATAACATCCGACTTTAAAGGTGTACTTTAATTTCAGAGGTGCGATATTGATAATACCAATAAATTTACCGCATAGTATATAAGTACAAAAATATATTTTGCAAAGTTAGAAAGTCCAAACAAAGCAACATAATTTTTTCACTGATTGACGATTAAAGTACAGGCTTCAAAACAGGGTATCTGTTGATCAAGTTCTCAGAGACTATAAGAGACTTTGTTGACTCTTTCTTTATTCGAATTTTAAATGTCTACATATGTATATACATATTTTGTTTTCCTTTCGCCAAAATTACAAAGGACACATAATTTTGATTGGATGACTGCATCGTTTTTGTGTTTTTGGCTCTTTATGGCTCTATATGTTGTTAACTGCTGCTTTTGTTTGAGCAGCTATTCTTTCATTTATCATCATCATCATCATCATCAAGTGCACCATTATCGTCATAATTAACATTATAAAATTTGGGCCTTTGTCTGCACGAAGTGGTCTTCTTCTTAGGGCTTCTTCTCTTGTATTCTGTATGGCTGGTTTGACAAAGTGCAATAAAAAACCATTTTTATAAATCTATGCAATCGTCCCGCACAGAGGCACAGAAACACAGAAATACAGAATAAAATATAAATTGCGCACACAACAGAAAAGCAGCATCTGGCCGCAAAATTCAATTCAGCGAAAGTGAAAGCAAAAGTAATTAATTTGACTTGCGATGCGCCATCGCATCATTTAAATGATATTAATTATGCATACCATGCCCCAATCTCCCAATACCCCCCAATCCGGGGGACGCTGTGATCCACCTTACAGTCGGTCATGGTGCATGACTCACTCAACGAAGACGAAAATGAAGACAACGCCCACCTACCTACCCAAAACAACCCATCACAAAAGAAAAACAAGACAAAACACTCTGATGCGATATATCTTTTGGTATATCAGAGTATAACAGGGGAGAGAACACATCTGACAAAAGACCACCTGCTCATATTTAAATAGATTTAATAATATATGTATCTATGATGGCACACAGTCCGTTGTTAAGCATTTCTGTTCATAACAGGCGAACATTAACATTTCAGTCCAGTCATGGATAACATTCTATACATTCAACATTCGTAAAGTATGCCGCGAATGTTAGAAGTTCGACACGAGTATTTTGTGTGTCTTTTCGAATTTTGAATCGACTGCAACGATATACTTCAAGAGGGCAATGTGTAAATTAAAAATACGGTTGAATCGAAATCGAAATGATATCAAAACAAGGGCAAGACGAGAGGAGGGGAAGCAAGAGAACTGCAATAGGTGATGCAAAGTTAACAATCAACAACAATCAATTTGCAAGTTGTGCCACAACTCTTCAAAATGCATTTAATGCAGTTGATGTGCTCATTGTGATTGACAACCACAATCCAATATTCATTCAATATTTGCATTCAATATGTCCAATCGGTTCGAAAGACAAAGATTTTTTTTTATATATCTGACCCACTGACTTGAACATTATGACAAATTTCGACAGCTTGTGTTGCATTTGCAGATTTTTCCTTTTTTTTGTTTATATTTTGTACATATTTTGTCTTAAGTTAAGTTAAGAGTGACACACGAAATGTTTTTGCAGACAAAATTGGAACAATGTGCCAATATTGTGGCAGACTAAAAAATTATATGTATTAAAAATACACTCTGTTTTATAGGTACTATATCCGGAATTTTAGATAACTACCTGACATCTGCAGTGTCATTTTCTCTGTAATCTTGCTAGTTTTCTATTTATTTATTTTGTTCTTGATGACGCTTCAAATATTATTATTTAAATAAAACAATCCATTAACCCATTAAAACCCTGTAAGACCAAAAACCAGCGATTATTTATTTGTTTATTTTTTTTAATATTTAACATTTAAACTCTCCGATTTTAAAAGCGTTTATACCCAAGTAGCTGCACACTGCTGAGTGACCCACAGCGGTCACCTTGTCCCGCATCATTACTCATTTAATTCATAAATCAAGTCAACCCATCAGTGATGGGGATGGTAATGGGAGGCTGCTCTCGTTGGGTGGAATTGAGCACTGCACACTGAAATCGTCACCTGTCCAAACGTTCACTAATTAGGAGCAAGCAATGCATTCACATTCCATGACTCAATCCGAACTGATCAAAATAAGGCAGTCGCCAAAAAAGTGAACGCTTCAATGAAATTAAGTGGCAAGTGGGGAGAATAATATCTACACACATCGCTGGCGAACAGAAAGTATAACGGATGCTGAACCTGAATCTCATTTTTCAGTCATTCACAGATTCGGCTGCCAATTTTGAAAACATACACTCCACAAATGATACCATTCCTAGTCGTAACTTTCCACCCTCGGGCTCTACACCTAAGGCAAGAGAAGAAATCGTTGGGGGTATGATAATTATGAAGTTAACATAAACTTACGATTTTTCTTTGCGACATTTCGTTAATCTCTTAAGAAGTTCCTAGTTTAATTATCTAATTCAAAATGGGTATTGCTAGCGTAAATCTTTTTTGTTGCCGTTTCCGATTTTGGATGCTTCGAAATGAGTTTGTTGTTGCCGAGCTAAACGAACAGCCATCAGATACTGATTGAACTGAAGCGTAAATAAATATATAATAAAAACACTTTTAAGTTAGGTGCTTGCGAGAGGTTCTGCCATCTTTTTTTTTTTGCATTTTTTTACTTGAAAATATTTCAGATAAATATAAAAGAAAAAACTGCCTGTTAAATACTTTTGCACAACTTGAATATATTTTTTGTATATAATGTAAATACAATGACAGAGTCACAGTTGAAGACAGTCGCCAGTCACTGTTGGCATTGATGTTGTTAATATCGTTTCCAAAGTTATTTGGCAGTAATTAAATTTTAATTTATTTTCATATTTATTTTAATACAAACACTTTTTTCTCATTTTCTGTTTGTTGTTTGCTTTTAGGTCTTATTGTGACATCGGAGAAACCGGTTAGCGGTCAGTTCACAGATTCAACGCCATTTAACGCAGTTCAACGATTCGAACTTAAAATGCAGGCCGATATATAAATTATATATATAATATAATATATATTTATATATGTATGTACAATTTACATAAATGAATTATTTAAATACGCTGTACCCATTGGGTAAGATGGGGTTTATGAAGTTCGACTCCATAGTGCATATAGATATTCCTTATCAGCATTAATAGGCGAGTCAATATATGTAAATCTGTGCTCCTCTTTCAGAATTGGATAGAGCGTTTTCTAAACGTTTCTCTTAGTTCTCAAATGTAAATTTTCTACCTGTGGACTATACCTATAATTGAGATAAACGATAGGCACAGGGTATCTTCTAGTCGTATATTGTCCATTAGTTTAATTATTGTTTATTTTTAGGTTGAATTTTTGTTCAACATTTTTGGGCAACATTTTTGTACAAATATTGAAATGAAGTGGCTTCATTTGTTGCTTGACATGAAAATCAATTGTTGATTCTATCAATCGACTGATTCACACACGTCTCCCCAGCCTCCTCTGCTCGCATGTCCTCCTCCCACCACTTCTCAGCCGAGCTTTAATGAGAAAGTATTGCTCGACTCAAAATTCAGACGCCGAGCAACAAAAAATCGCCAACGCCATCAAAATCCAAAGGTCAAGCTGACATTTTCAGCAAAGATATTACGCATCGGAGCTAATTAATAGTCACTTTGAATTTCATATTACTCATGCGGCTAACAATTTCAATCGTTAGGTTTCTGCCAATTGAGTGTAAGTATATATATTCTTGATCCGCATCACTATTCGAGTCCACATACCTTCTATGTCAACTAGTCTCTCAGTTATAAAACTGATATAAAGCTATCTGCATGAAACTTGGAATATATTCTCCCTGAACCCACTAAAAATGGGTAAAAAGGATATTACAGTTTTGTGCAAATGTATGTAACAGGCGGAGGCATCTCCGACCCCATGAAGTATACATATATGTATGTTGTTCATCATGGTCAACAGCCGAGTCGATATAGCCATAACCATTTGTCTGTATGAACGCCCAGATCTCAAAGACAATAAGGGCTAGAGACTTCAAATTTGGAATATAGGTTTTGCTGGCGCAGATCAATTTTGCTTTATTTGATCGATAACTGAATCCGTTTCTCGATTATTGATACATTTACATTTCCGATAGCAATAAATGCTACAATTTTAAAGGCAGACTCTTCTAATTTATATAGAATATACACTTATTTGAAAAGTGAGGCATTCTAAAATAAAATAATATTTAAAGTACAATTATAATTCCATTTACTTGTCATAATTTATTGGTGAAAGCAAAATAAAAATGAAATCATTTTTAATATTTAAATTTCTTTACGTTGCAGAAGAAGTGCTTAAGACGGGATTATATTTTAATGTGTTTTCTTTTTTTAAAATTCATATCGCAAAGACAAATACAGGATATAACAGGATAACAGGATATAACTTTGCTGTTTTTTCTTCTTCATTTTTTTTTTTTGTGTATTGATTTATTGATAATATGGAATTACTAATATCCTGTTCATTTAAAGATTCGAATCTAACGCATTTATAAGCAACTGTAGCCTAGTTTTTAGTTATAACTTACCAACAAGCCAGTTTCTACATTTGGTATTAGAATGATCTTAGAGCCGTCCATTAAGTTGTGATCTCTGAGGCTTCCATCCTGAAGTTCTCTGCAATGACAAAATGAGCAAGACGATAAAAGAAAGCAATAATATAAGGAGAATGCCACTGCCACAGTTTCATTGATTATTTGAAATTTATTGTATGCATCCCCAAAATAAATTCATACATATTTTGTTGTAGTTTTTATGTATAGTTTTCATTTAATCTACATGATTTTTTCCCCTCCGAAATGACTGCCCGAGGAACCATTGAATAGATATAGATTTTTTTCTTCTATTTTTAGCGTTTATTGCGTACATATTTGAACTGAAATTCGAATCGACTGTTTGCAGAACACCGTTCGATTATTGTTATTGCTTTTTTAACAAAAACAACAACAGTACTTGAGAAGGTACAAAGGCTTACAGTCATCGAACGTCACATTATTTATATACATGTATATATATAAAAAATGTCAGTACATATAGCCTTAAATATATGTGTATGTGTTTTTTTTTTGTTTTTTGTTTATTTAAATGGAATATATAAAAAGATAATAAAATTCGAGACGTGTATTAGTAAGTTATGACAGCTGGTTCCCTAATTGTGCCATTTTGTCACCAAATTTTACGGCTGACTTTGCTGTTTCGTTGCCTTTTTAACACTTTTGCATGTGTGCTTTTTATTTTAATTACAGCAACACAAAAAAAAAACGATTAAGAATGCTGTAGACGAGTGAGTTCGACTACGATATACCCAGCTGTTAGATATATTCTAGTAAATATGTTCTGTAAGCATGCGTAAAAAAAGGTTAAAGCCCCGCATACACAGTTGCGAAAAAAGAATAAAATAAATAAAAAATACAAGACAATGACTTCGATTTGCATGAGACTTGTGCAGGTGAAATAAAAATACAAAATAAGTAAAATAAAAAAAAAAACAGGAGCTGCAACACACAATCAGGGGCATTATCGTTTTATGATTATCCAAAGCAGATCACCGATAAGTGTGCTTGGAGCAATAATGCCAATTTCCATAAATCAGTTCGCTGAATATTAAATTTAAAATACATTTAAGCTGTAAATATTAACAGGCAGGAATACAGCAAGAAATTAAAATCTGCCACGATCGTTCGATCTGATCGAGATAATTAAAAGCTGATATTTCGTGCTACATACATGTATATCATTTGCGACGAACTCGATAAGTTCAAAAGTTACCTAAATATTATATTTTTAAAGAACTTTCCTAGAAATATCTGTTATACCACTATCTGAAGACCCGCTAGATACTATCTATTTTTAAGAACTGCTGAACTTATCTTGACATTTTCTTAAGTACTTATAAAGTAAAATATTGTTTTTGATAGCATATTTCAATGATGATTAATATTGCGGCTCCATCAGTTTATATGGCTAGTCCCTAATTATAATTCTATATCACAACTAACGAATTTTCGAGCAAATAACATATTGACAAATTTGCTAAGCACATAAGAACAGTTGCAGTCGCAGTCGCAGTCGCAGTCGAAGTCACAGTCGCAGTCACTGTCGCAGTCGTTTTAATTGAACAAGTTGACGCAGCAGCAGATTGCTGCCCATATTGCCGCGAGGGCGAATAAGAGCGAGATAGAGCGAGACAGAGGCCGAGTTGCGGCGAATTGCTGTCAATGAGGTAACACACAGTCAACAACAACAACAACAACGGCAAAAGGAACGAACGATAAATGACTGCATGCATGACTGATGAATTGATAAGATTTGCTTGGTGTTGCCGATGTTGCGGTTAAGCACGAACGAAAATAAAGAAAAAGAAAAAATACGAAGCATATTTGGGTCAGCACGAGGCGTGTCACGCTACAAACATCGCACGCACACGCACACACAGGCATAAATACATCGAAATTAACAGTATTAATGTTCAATCATTGCTGCTTACGTAAATTGCTTGCGGTAACATGCAACCATACATAGAAATATACATATTGCTGTACATACGTAGGTATGTATTTATATACCCGACCGGCAAAGCATGCCCACAGGCAGACAGACAGACGCACACACACACACGAACACAGATGAAGACAGAGAGAGAGAGAGAGAGAGAGAGAGAGAGGAGACAAGCGATAAGCAATTCACAATGCATAACGCGAAAGAAAGCGCTGTGGTGAATGCTCCTCTGGCATAGAAACATACACGCACAAACACTCAGTTACATGTGCGTGTGCACACATACAAACATACACATTCGGAGCAGCAGCAGCAGCAGGTGCCAAAACTCACCACACATGAGAGTCAGTCAGACAGCAGCAGCCGCAGCCGCCGCAGTCAGAGTTAAAGTTACTCAAGCTTTAAAGCATACACACACACACAACCACATATATTTATACATACATATATATATATATATATATATATATATATATATATATATATATATATATATATATATATATATATATATATATATATATATATATATATATATATATATATATATATATATATATATATATATATATATATATATTGAAGGTGTGGCGTCGCGTATGCCTATCTGTGTGTGTGTGCGCGAGTCGATTTTGTCTGCGGAGGTGTCTGCGTTAGCGTCGCTTCACTGCTTTAGCGCAATAGACAACAGACGACGATGGTGCTGCTGACGCTGATGCTTACGCCGACGTCTCTGGCAGGCAACGAAGGCCAAACGAAGCTGATGGCGAAGCCAAAGCCGTTGTCGGCGAATACCCAGATAGAGATAGAGAAAGAGACAGAGACAGATTTTTAGCTGGCAGACGCAGCAACCCCCCTTACCATATCCTCAACATGAGGCGGAATATTAAATTAACCTTGTTCACCAGTTGCTTTATAACTGTTAACAGTCAGCTGCTCTGCAGCAGCTCTGCTCTGCTCTCCTCAAACTGTACGCTTGCTAGGCGGCCAGACTCACACACAGCACATGGTCTGGCGCTCATACACACGCACACATACATATATACACATACACGTACATAGTTTGAGGTTATGCTGTCGATTGATCTATGTAACTCGCATTATGTTTCTGTCCCTTTCTTGCTTGATGGCTGTGCGTGAAGCAGCAATCCTCTTTTTCTTTGCATTTGTTTCTCTCCTCTTCTTGCATTGACTTTCTTTTGTAACTTGCTTAAAATGCAGCATTCAACACACACACGTATTTATGCGCATGTATGTGTGTGTGTTTGCGCATATGTATGTAATCCGAAACTCAAACCAAAAGCAAGACAACATCAAATTCCACCACCTTGCACACAAACAAACACACACACACACAAATATATATATATATATATAAAATGAAAGAAAAGAGACTGTGTTTGTGTGTGTGTGTTCGCTGCTCGCTACGTAAATTATCATGTGTATTATTTATTATGCTGTGTCCTGCATTCGCCTGCCTCTCCATATCTACACAGGATAGCTGCATAAGCAGAAGCAGCAAGAGCAAACCATCAGAAAATCTTACAGTTGTCGAGCAAAGACACAGTTGGAAACTGAAATTTCACCACCGTCATCGTCATCATTGTCGTCATCATCATCATTGTCGTCATCGTCGTCCAGTTGAACACTTGAAGAAATAAAGGAAGCAACCACCAAGTGTTGCCATATTGCCATGTTTCCATTTGAATCCAAACCCAAAAACCGGAAAAGTAGCGCACACAGCTCAACTCACGTGGCAGACAAGCAGACAAGACAAGCAAAAAAAACACAACAAAAAAATCATCCAAGAAATCCACTGACGTCTATAATGTGTGTGGCGCTAATACTGAGCAAATAACACGAGGGGCGAAGGGAAGGGAGTCTCAAGCCACTTGGACTGTCGAAGGCTGTACTGTACAGCAACTGTACAACAGCTGTAAAACTGTACATAATATGTACAGACATTACATATTACATTCCACACACTGTCGATTTACATTACAATTCACGCGACGGGAGTGAAAAGACAAACTCGCAGCGGGCACTGCCAAGGATTAAACAAACAAACTGTTGACGAGTCATTGAAAGATTCAAGACTCGAGATCTATATATATGATCTATGAACATATATATGAAAAAATAAATTTATCGATAATTTCAAAATATATTGCAAAATTCATAATATTAGAAAGATTTTATTTTCAAATTTTTGGAATTATTTTCAAATGAACTAAACTAATATTAATATTAAAATGAAAATATAGTAAAACAGCATATTAACCTCTCTCATATTGTTTATTTTTCACATTTGTTAAGTTGCTTTTGTTATTTGCAAATAAACTTAACATAAATAAAACTCAAACTCCTTTTTTCCTTTCAGCACTCACACATCCAATTTTTGTTAACTTGTATTCTAGCACCTTGTCGCCGTCGACAACACAAAACCAACCCAATCCCAAATAGACACTAAAAATGCACACGGGAAGTTTAAATTCGATTTATAATCTAGTTTCATTAATATTGCAAACACAAATCAACGAACACTAAGACAAAGACGGAGAAATCTGGTTTGATTTTGATGGTTTTGACTAAATTGATTTGTTTTGTTTTGCATTTTGCTTTCCGTTTTATTTCACATCGTTTTTTAATCGATTATTTAGTTGATCTTGATCAGGACTTAATAAAATAATAAATTAATTAACCCTTGACAAACAGCAGAATATTCCTCAAGCATTCCTTGTCCTATTGGAAAACTCTCAGTAAGTGAATTTCATCAACTTTATCCAATATTTTAAAGCACAGATGTCAATTTTGAATATTTATATATATGCAAGTGAAAGGTGAAATCGAATAATGATAAATGTCAGTTTTTTTTCTAACATTTTTATGCACATTTTTCTGTTTTCATGCGGGAATTTAATTTCTATTCGTTTCTTAATATTTAAATGAATAGTTATATTATTATTTATTGTGCTTTCAACTAAATATATAAATATATAGTAAATATAAAGATTAGTTCGTTCACAAATAAAACTTAAATAAATAGCACTCATTTAAACGTATAATTATATTTGAAAAAAAAATTCTACAACCCTTTAAATGTCTACATATTTTAATTGTTGGCTTGCCAAAAATATGATACAATACTTTTTGATGGTGCAACAAATTATTTCAGAGATACAGACAGACATACACAAATAAACACGGGTGAAGCAGATGCAGTTGCCAGAATGTAAATATTTTTGCACACATATCACACTCAGAAACGACCTCATGGTATTTACTATTGATATATATGCATATAGATGTATAATAGATACAGATGTTTACACACATGTACATTGTATAAATTTGAGCTAAGATAGATACACACACACACACACACGCCCCAGCACACACCATGAATAGTTGCCCCATTAGAATAGTTGCAAATGAGAACTCTGTGGCAATAATCTCCTGTGATTTATAACCATTCAATACCAAAAACTATAAAAAAGAATATAAACAACATAAAAGAATATGAAAAATGAAAATTTAATATTTTTCCTTTGCACTATTAGTATGCAACTCAAGTGATTTGATTTTTTTGTTTATCAATCGATCAACTTAAATGAAAATTTAGTCAAGTTCACACTGACATGCTTGAGCTATACTTAAAATATTCTGAGAAGTACTAAAAACAAATTAAAAATCTCTACTTTTCGCATTATGAAAATGCGCAATCGAATTGTGAAAATTGGTTTCTGTTTGCAAATGCATCTACACTATGTCAAGAAAATCTTTTGACAAACAACAAAAAACTGCACCTTATTATTTTATTCTTTATATTTTTCTACTAGTTAAACATTAAATTTAAAAAACCACAAAGAAATTGAAAACTGTGAATTTTTCCCTTTGTCAAAATACTTTCTTGATATAGTGTATTTTTGAATATGGTACATTCTTTGTACCCCCAAGGTGGAGCAACAGTAGGTCGGTGAAGTGATCATCCCAACATTAATTACCCCCCGCAAAAACCAAGAGACGCCTTCCCATCATCATCCTAAAGCAGGGAGAGGGTTTCGTTCTGTGAGAGAGCTGTGCAGCGTGGGAGAGCAAGTTTCACCAGTTTCCATCTTCATCTCCATTTCCATCTCCATCTCCATCTTCACCTTCATTTCCATCTCTATTGCAGGCGCTGCTTCAATCTCTGATTTGAAATTCAGTCTACAAAAGATTTTTAGGTTTTCAGTTTTCGTGTGGCTGCTTTTAATGACCGCAGCGTTGGTCGTGGCTTTGTGGGGGTGTGGGTGGGGAGGGGTTAATTGGGGGTGCGGTTAGGTAAGCTTTTAACTGGGGGTTGCAAGCATAACAAAAACCCACCCGCGATAAGTTGGTTTTCGTTAATTTCAGGCGAATAACAAAAAATAAAAACCATATGGTCAACTATTTGGAATTCTTGATACTATACATACAAACAGATATGCATGTGTGTATGTGTGTGTGTTCATGGTTGTGTGTGGGTGCAAACTAGGTTGACTAGCAGCAATGGGGATGATGACCAGGCCAAGTGCATTAGTCCAGCTACCTGGCCACCCAACCCACCCACCCATTCACACACACACACACACACACATACACGCAACCATCAAGAAGAATAAGAAGAAGCAGAAATAAAAGCAACCACCGTGGTGCAAAAGAGCTTTCTAAAAGGGTTGCATAGAAAATCGATGACAGACGGGAGTAAAAAAAAACAGCTGAAAAGCAGCCAAAGCCAAAGCCAAATGTGTGTATAAGGAGAGAGAGAGAGCTGACAGACAGAGAGAGAGAGAGAGAGAGAGAGAGAGAGAGACGGAAACGTTAAGAGCAAGATAGAAATGCATAGATAGATAGTTAGAGAGAGAAAAAGAGGGAGAGCTTTATATGGCTGCCTACACCGCTGGCCCCTTCCCGAAAAATCATCCCTTTCCCCACCCTTCACCCATCCACCACATCGACTGACTGCATAACAACCCAGCCACAAACAACACAAAGACAAATTAAACAAAGAAAAACAAAAAAAAAAACAACAACAAAGCTGAGGGCAGGCAACGATGGAGACGAAAGCAAAGCAAGCAATAAAAACAAAAGAAGAACAACGCCAGCAGCAGCAAACAACAATGAGAAATCACAGCAACGAAAAATAACAAACACCTCGGACACCGCCTACGCTACCCCTGCCTATATCTCCCTCCCGCAATTCAGCGACCACCTAACTAAAAAAAATGAAATAGAAAAATACAAATGAAAAAAAAAACAGCAGCTGCTAATACCGCTGCTTCTAATTTCAACACAACGAGATTCGAACGTTGGCAGCGCAGTCGCTTTTGCTTTTATCAACAAACTGACAGCAGCGCAGCAGACACCGGAAGGCGATTTTGCGAAAGGGCAAACATTGCAAGCAAATGCAAATAGTCAGAAGCAGCAGCAGCTCAGCACACAACACATGCACACCATGAAGAGAGCGCAAAACAGAGAGAACGAGAGAGATAAAGAGAGAGTGACGCACGAGATGTACTCTCTCAAGCAGGCAGGCAAAACACACAATTGCCGGCCGGCCCCACATCCGCAGAACCCAAAGGAAAGGCGCGCAAAGGGGATGGGGGGAGAGAAAACGGCGCTGTTCTGTCGATTCTGGGCGCTGACGTCGTTCTTGATATGCCAAAAGTGTATTTGCATTGAAAATGAAGGCGACGCTGGCGTTTAGCGTTGGCGTCGACAGCAACAGCAAAAACGTCGCAGCAGGGCGAAAAAAATGAACAATTAGACATAATAGATGAGGAAAGTGTTGAACTCCAAGATACCCTATTTTCGCTGGTACACATTGAATTTATGTGTGTGTGTGCCTTTTATTTAAAAAATGTATTTTTCATTTATATTTATATGCTACCGCTTTTAACTATTGCCCATTTATTTGCAAAAGTTGATAATACCCTCTTCAGATTTTGAAATGGTACAGGGAATTATGCGAATAATTCGAATTACATTACGATTACATAGCTGCAAATTGAGTGGGAAAGGCACGTTTCCGTGATACACACAAACACACACACACACATGCATAATTATTTGTATGTATGTGTCTGTTTCGTAAACTATTTCAAATTGTCAAGCACAAATATCGATAAATATCTCATCAACATCATCATCATCATCATGGGTGGTGGTTTTATCTGGAGGTGTCAATGCACCGCTGCTGTTAATCTCTCCATCTCTCTCCCTCTTTTCTTCGGGTCTTTGCACAAATATTTGCAATGTTTACAACAGTCAGCAACTGTTGGTAATTCAATTATGAAGCAAGTTGAATGCATGCATGCACCTAAATTTGTAGCTCTTGAATTTTCTTAGTACTCTATGGATTATATATACACATATATACTGCCAGATATATCCAGATATAATATTTGCACTCTCTCTCCTTAAAAATCAATATATATATTTCTATATATATGTTATCGATTCAATAATAAACGATGCAATGCCGATACACCTACAGGTGCAAATCGATAACTGCATTCATTTCAGACTTGCAAAAACATAATATCAAATCAAAAGCTTTGTTTTCAATTATATGTAAATTAGTTACGAATTGCTTACTTAATATGTAAATCTTGGAAGGAGTTAGGTTCAACTTGGTCTTATGGTGGATGGGCGAAAGGCTTTGCAAGTGGTGAAAATGGTGGTGGGTTCTCCATTAACAGGTGAGGGTGGGGGGATAAGGTTGTTTTTTTTTATGGCTTCTGCGGGTTAAACAACATCTGACATTTGGGTGGTCGTAGAACTTTGAGCAAACAAAGGAGAGCCCAGTTCAAGTCAACTCGGCAACCTAGCCAGCAACAACGAATCATCATCAACAACATCATCGGCGATAAGTGCAGCCAGCAACAATTTGTTATTGCAGCCAAGAACAAAGAGCAGCGCAGCAAGCAAAAGCGAGAAATTAAATCTTCACATGGCAAAGAGGAGAGAAAAGAAAACAATCACAATCGGCAACAAAGCAAAAGTTTTGCATGAATTGCATGGTTGTTGTTGTTGTTATAAAGTGGTAAGCGGCATACAACAGATGCAACAACTGAGCCAGCACAAAAGAGAGAGAGAGAGAGAAGCCGAAAAACTCAAACATTTCATATTTGTTCTCTTTTATTGTGTTTTTTAAGCATTGCTGCCCGATTTTGAGTTCGACTTAAAAAGTCAGCTACACTGTACCCAAAACAAAGATGTTAAAAAAATTACAAAAACAATAAACCACCTAAATTTGTTGATTTGATTCGCCCTCGAACCGATTTTGTCGATTTCCAATTTATTCATTGCAAATAATATAGGGTAACACTGGAGGGCATCCAAATCTTGTTAGCTGTTACATTTTATACAAATTAGGGAAGATCACCACAATACACATACACATACACGTACACACTCTCTCTCTCTCCAGCTCTCTCTTTCTCTTTACCTATCTGCCATACTCACCACACGTGAGCTCACCTTACAGCAAAGCATAACAAAGGCATACACACAAACGATCGGGCACGAAAAGCATTAAAACTAAACAAAGCTTAAATAATAAAACCAAAAATACGCAGACCGTAAAAGGGGCACGTTTCAATAGAACAATTATCACTAGCAAGATCTTTTTGAGAGCGAGAGAGAAACCTACGCACATAAATATATGTATGTGTGTGTGTATATAAATTAACACTTGTTGCTGGCAAAGCCCAACACCAACACTAATACCAATACGCCTTTGCGTCTACCGTTTCTTATTCTCCCTTGCCATTCGATTCGAGAGAAGCGAGAGCAAAAATGTTGCGTCATTGGTCATTATTTTGGAGGGGAGAGAAGCAGAGAGAGAGACAATTAGAAGATTACACACACACACACCCTTGAATAGTCTATGTCCGGCTAGAAGGGTATACAGGTATACACAAAGAAAGGTGAACAGATTTTCTGGTAATATATATACTTTTTTATGTTTCTTGTGGCTGATTTTTGTTTTTTTACTCACTTTTCGCGATGAAGCAAACAGATGCGATCCTTGGCCACTTTCAGTTTCTTGGCAATAATCTTTTTGAGACTCTCGACGCTGATGTGAGGCTCAACGCTGACGCCAAAGTTGCCGCCGGTTGTGGTACTGATATTAAGGTTAATCATCATATTATTGTTGCCACTTCCCATTCCAATTCCCATTCCCGTTTCGCTGGCAACTGTTGTGGAACTGTTACTGTTTATGTTACTGTTATTGTTAAGCAGCGCACTTGTGCTTGGATAACGTTGTTGTCTAACATGGCTGCTGCTGTTATTGTTGTTGTTGCTGTTATTGATGCTGCTGTTATTGTTGTTCTTGCTGCTGCTGCTGTTGTTGTTGTTGTTGGTATTAACATTGCTGCCACACCCAGCAGCAGCGGTGCCATTTGTTGCTGTTGCCTCATTTTCCGCCGTTGCGGCCTTTGCATTGGCCGTATTTCTTGTCGTCGATTTATCCATTTTTGCACTCACCACGCAACAAAAAACACTCAAACAAAAATCAGCTTCAACTTGCAGAGTATGCGTTCAAGACAGGCAAAAAAAAACACAAACAAAAAAAATCGCGTAACGGGAACGACAATCGGCTGCTTCAATCGATTTTCTATACACACCACACCTTATAGCACGCACTCACACACACAGACGCACGCACGCACAAAGAGCGACGTCAATGTTGAACGCGGCTGCGCTGCTTTGAAATTTTTGTCTATTGCTGCTGCTGACGACGAAGTTCACACACACACACAGCCACAGGCACAGAATCGAGTCGAAAACAGACAATGATGGAGACGTCGACGTCGTGCTGGTGGTGGAGGCGTGGGGGGCTGGAGGGGGAAGGAGGCGCGGCAAACAAACACAGTTACGTGTGATGCGAACGAGGCGAGCGACGCGTGGTTGGTTGGAAGGCTGGCGGCTCTTATTATTATTATTATTTTTCTTTTTACTGTGTGCTCGATTGCGAAACACCGTTTACAGTTTGAGATGTACTGCTTCTGCTGCGACTGCTTCTTCTTATAGACATGTATGCTCGTATGTATGTATATGTGGATGTATGTGTTTGTTATATGTGCTCTTCTTGGTTATGTTACGTAGCAGAGACTGTTGCTGATTTTACTACAGTTCGATTTCGTGTCGGTTTTTGTTTTTTGAGCGCGCACACGTGGAATATGTGCAAAAAGAATGTGTAATTAATTTACAGTTAAAGACGTTTGTCCGCTGTATTTGTACTTGTTACCACTCACTCAAACACACACACTTACACATTCGTTGTATTCGAAGAGTCAAATTGCAAGCGGCGGCGGTGGCCAACAATATAAAAGCCTATACACACGCACACACACACACACTCACACAGCAGGCGACAACGCACAGTTACAAATCTTAAATTCGCGCACCGAGCGTCACACGACCGCCTCGACCGGCTTTGGTTTTGCTTCTGACTTATCGATGACACATGTTCGCGCACACATTTTAATTTGAAACCGCGCGTTGTTATCGAAATCGGTTGGGCTTGGCGGCGAAGAAATGCAACTCTGGGAGCAAAGCGCCATCTACTTCAAACAGCAGTGTTGCACGCAACGCCAGCTGTCATCTCTGACAGCCGGAAGTAACTTTTGTGTGTCAAAGCAGAGCAGCGTTCTTTTCGTTTAAAGGTCTCTAAGGCGAAAGTTGTGTTTTTCTGTGCATTTCACGTTTCGTGTCAAGAACCAAAGACTTAAAGTAAGCAACAGCCACAAAAACTAAAACAAATTGCACACAAGCCAAATACGAAAAGATTCCGCACAAAACTAACTAAAAACCAAATGTGATGCCAACGATATAAACCGATTATAATTGAATCGAAAAATTAAAATTGTTTTTGTTTTAATTTTGTTTTGTTTTCTTTTGATTTTAGCATGCGTTACGTGGCTGCATATTTGTTGGCTGTCCTCGGCGGACAGGAGAGTCCCGCCAATGCCGATCTGGAGAAGATCCTCAGCTCGGTTGGCATCGAGGTCGACGCTGAGCGTTTGAGCCGCGTGATCAAGGAGCTGAAGGGCAAAAGCATCGATGACCTCATTAAGGAGGGACGCGAGAAACTCTCGTCGATGCCCGTTGGTGGCGGCGGCGCTGCTGCTGCTGCGACCGCTGCCCCAGCCGGTGCTGCTGCAGGCGGTGACAAGAAGGAAGCCAAGAAGGAGGAGAAGAAAGAGGAGTCCGAGTCGGAGGATGACGATATGGGCTTCGCTCTCTTTGAATAAATGCCTTCATCTCTTCTCCATCTCCGTCTCTTGTCCGCATATACGGTGCTAAATAACAGCAGCAGCAGCAGCATTAACAGCTACACTCGAGGTACTATAAATTAGTCCACACAATGTGTAGATCTGTTTGTTCTGTGTTAATTTGGCATTTGTGTGATGAACTAAACTTACACCATCTTTCGACTGAGCATAAACGTTGATGCTATACAAGTTTTCACTGATTCCAATTTGCCTTACAACACACAGCACGTACACATACACACTTGCAATTTTATCCGAATAATGTTAATGTTTGCATCTCTCTTTTCCCTCACTTGCAGGACAATCAGCTGAGGAAAAAAATAACATCGACTGCTTTACTTGCACAGTGGGCACATTGCTTAAAGTTGCCATTCAAAATTTTGTTTTATCCACCAACGGTCATCAAGATATACATAAAAAAAATTTGAAAAACGGTTAAATCAACGTTTATTTCTATGAAATAAAAATCTGCTGTGTTTATGCTTTATATGCGTCCATATATAATGTGAATTTTTTTTTTTTTGTTTTTACCAATTGGGGAAAAATGTATTTATTTTACTTAAAAAAGTTTCTCAAATATAATTCGCGCATTCGGTGCGAGTGTGGCGCCAAAATGTTGGGTTCAGAGAGAGTGGCAGTATTTGTTTTGTTTTAATTAAATGTGTTCCTATTAAAATAAAATGTTAATTTGGATCCACACGTGGAACTAATTCCAGGCTTGATTCCCATTGCAATGATTGACAGCACACGTCGCATAAGAAAAAACATTTTCATTTCTGTCTCTGTCTCACCAACTGTAGATAACTGGGAAGATGTCTGGAAAGATTCCGTTAGTTTTCGATTTCATCTTTTGAATTTTCAGCTCAGTTTTCGACAGAGCAGCATTCAAAATTATATTTAGTCAATCGCTTATTACAATATATTACAATTTGCACTTTTTTTTTAAATAGATGATTTGCTTTCGTTGTTTGCTTTTTATTAATATATGTATGTTAATCAATTCGTGTTTTTGTCTTCAACACACTCAAAACGAAATAAGACAAAACTAAAATTCACGTTTTGTACATGAATGTGCCTGTTTGCACACACACACACACACACATACGCAAATACACAAATTCAAATAATAAACATCGAAAATATTAAAACACAAATGAGCAAAAAGTAAAAGAGAGGAAGCAATTATCAAGATCTATGCGGCATTCTCTCTTTCCCACTTTATGTGTTTTTGCCAGATCTCTTCCCAGCAGCGAAAAGACCCCATTACGAATTCGATGCGTAATGTAATTGGAATACTATACGACGAAAAATGTGTAGTGGATTGAAATGAAAAAGAAAGGGACAGAAGAACAATAAATGTATGCAAACGTGGGAAATGTGTGCAGTTATGGGAAATAATTCAATATAAATATGCATAAGGACATGTTTATAAAGTAGATTTTATGAATAACGATATTCAACATTTTGGTCTGCTTTTATTACTTCTCTGCACATTTTTCGCAGCATTTCATAGATTGATAAAAACAATCAACTTGATTTGCATACCAAAGACTCATTAGAAACAAACTAATTTTACTGTACATATGACTTTAAAATGTAGTATTTACAAAAATTGCTAAGAAAGTTAGGATTCTTATTTTTAAATTTAGTGGGCTAACATTTTGTAACTAATACTTTTAATTTTAATTTTCGCCTGCTTGAAATTTGATTTCATTAACAGAAACAACCTGAAACGAATTGTTTCATATTTTTTTTATATAACTAATATTATGGAGAGTTGAATACCTCTCCTGATATATTATGTGTTGTCAGACTAATACTATTATTCAGAAAAATTGCGCACAATAATAAAAGATAAGAAAATAACATTTTAAATTTCGTTGAAACGAACTGTTTTCTAAATGTTGTTTATTGTTTGTGTTTTTTCAAGATGATGGTTTGCGGTAGTCGTGCAGACTGTCGTCCATGTGCTCCTCCAGAATGTAATCCTTCTGGGACAGCGGCTCCAGTTCATTGCTCTCGTTTGTATCTGCCCTCCAATCCGTCTCCGCCTGCTCATAGAGCTCCTCACGTCTATGCTTCTTGCGTTCCGGCGTCTGCTTCCGCTCGCGTCTCTTCACAAGGAACGCCTCAAACTTGATGGCATCGCGGGGATCGGATTGTGGACTGGGGTTGGGATGGGGTTGGGGATAGGCAAGTTTGTCGCAGTCGGTTGATGATTGTTCCTGATGTTGTTGCTGACGCTGCCAGGCGCTCTTCGACTTGCGCATCTTGGTGAGAATCTTATCCATGATCAGGTGATGATCCAGGCCAAGCACATCGTGCCGCATCGCCGGTGGCATCGCTGCGGCTCCAGTTGCTGCCGCAGTTTGCTCAGCGGCATTGCCATAGAATTCCTGTCGTACTGTTTGCGCCACATCAAAGGTTGTCACGTCTTGCTGCTGCCCCTCCTCCTGATCGGCCTCCTCCTGATCGGCCTCCTCCTGCTTGGGACTGTTCAAGTTAATGTTTCGCAAAATGGCTTCGATGCTGTTGCTGTTGCTGCCACTTTTGTCGCGCACGAATCGGAGGCGTGGCACCTCGCCCATCAGGCGCAGCTGGGAGAGCTCGTGCCTCAGCTGGCCAGTGCAGCGTTGCAGTTGCACTTCGAGTACCGCATCGCTCGCCACCTGCCCGGTGCCCAGCCAGTAGACATTGATGCAGGCAAAATCCGATGAGATCTTGACGCGCGACACCTGCAGACTGCGTCCCAGTACCGATTCCGCCGCCTGCCCCGTCGCCAGCAGATCGGTGATCGATGTCATGAACAGTTTGTTCAGCACCGACATCCGTCGCGTATTCTGCTTGGAGCCGGCCGCATTCCTCTTGCCAAATTGCGATGACTGGAAGACAAGGCTTGGCGGCTGATAACTGCTGCTGCTGCTGCTGTTGTCAGCGCTGTTATCGGAGCTGGGATACCAGCGTTTCTTCGTTCCAGCCACGCGACTGCCGAAGAGCTTGCCCAGAATTCGGCTCTGGCGCGCTGCATTTGTGCTGCCGGCGCTGCTGCTTTTCGCTCTCGAACTGCTTTGGATGCCAGTGATTTGTGGTGATAAATGGTGTCCAAGCTGGACACACCAGCAAGCAGCACGTTGCTGCCACAGTTGGTTGCGCAACATTTGCAGTTTGTTTGGGTCTTCTTGATTTGATGATTTTTCAGCTTTTGTTTTGATTCCTACGAGAATCGATACTATCGGCAGCATTCAAAATTCCGTCTTGCCAATAATCGACTACCAAAATTTGACATATCGGCAATATTAAATGGATAGAAAACAGACTGAATTTTAAATTGGCACAGGGCAGTAAATACTTGATTTATAATTTAATTATCACAAATATATATATAATATAAAATATATGTTGCTGGCGTTTTTGTACATTGGTCTTTTAATATGTATCTGACAATTTATAGGACGTATGAAAACCATAGCAAACAGGCAAAATTTTAAATACTTAATTATCAAAAATATACAGTTCGCCATTTGCTGTATTATTGAATAACAAATAAATGTCATGCAGCTTTTGTATTTTTTCTTAAAGAGATTTGATTTAAGGGGAAACTATTCGATAAGGATTCGATGACAGAGCCACCAAAAGTTATGTTACCGGTTTTTGGTATTTTACAAAATTGTTTTGGTATTTTTATGTTCGCCCATGACGGTCGCACGAACGGAATCTTTCGTAATCCGGATTGTTGTTGTTGATATATAAATACAAACGCGCATCGAGCTGAAGCTGCTTGACTTGAGCCAAGGATAAACGAGCAGACACCTTTTTTTCTATCATACATTTTTTGTTGTAATACAAATGAAGTGAAATTATTATATTAAATATTAAATATAGTACGCGCGTTCCGCTCGCCGTAACTTGTGCTTGTGTGTGTGTGGGTGTGTGTGTGGGAGTGTGTGTACGTGTGTGTATGTGTGTGTGTGTGTCATAATGTAAAAATATTGTGGTCGCCTTTTGCTTTTGCATTCACCAAAACACAAATCAACACGAATCGCCAAACAAACTAATCCACGCAACAATCGAAACAATTCAGAACATGTCCTACACGGAGCTAGAATCGGGCTATCAGGATTTGCGTCAGTCTGCGCAGAGCAACGTCGGAGCCTCCCAGCAGCCGCAACAGCAGCAGCAACAACAGGACCAGCATCAGCATCATTCGCAGCAGCCGCTGGGGTCGCATTCGCATTCGCACCGCGTGGGTTTCTATCTGGGCCAAGATGGCAATGTACGCAGCAATATAAATTGTTTAAGCTATTACTAATATATAAACATATAAAACCATGCAATATCATTATCCTTCTTCTTCTTGCAACTACATACACATACATCATGCGTACTGTGCTTGAAAATCGATAGTTTCTTGTTGTTTCTCTGGTTGACCTTGACTTTGTCAAATTGTCGTTGCTGCGATTGACAACAGCTGACTGCGGAGTTGAACTGTTATTCACAGGGTGCCTCTGGTACGCTACACCTGCAAGCACCTCATGCATACACACATACACACTTGCATATATACATATGTATGTGTTTCGAGACATACTTTTCCAATCGACACTGGACACTGGAACACGAATGAATTTCCCCTCTGCGCTGCTTGCTGCTTTCTCTGTGTCCGTCTGTCTATCTGCCCTTATTGACAGGCGAATGTATGTTGTGACTGGGCACGGGGTGTTTCGAGCACTGGTGCTTCAATCTTCATTTAGTTTTGCTTAATTTATTTTATATTTATAATAAATTTCCAGCCCCAAATTTGGTTTAGCTTCGAGGATTCTGTTCTACCTACTTTTAGGCTACTATTTTCGAAAACGTTTTCATTTCTTTTTCATATTATTTTTTTTGTACTTATTTTTTACAATCAATTTTTGGCAATTCAAGGTTCAGTCTTAGTTGAATTTTTTTAGAACTATTCTCAAATGCGACTGTTTTTGGGGACACGCTCTGCTTGCTTCTTCTTCTGCTTCATCCTACATACACATATACAAGCAAATATATGTGTGCGTGTGTGAGTGTGTATGCAGTACAAATATGATCACTTTGTCTATAATTCATTTTGTGCCTAACAAATTCCCATATATCTACGCACACTTGTACGCGTATGCACACATACACTTACGCATACATGCATACAAATGCACATGTGAATACGCAGAGAAAGACGTGTTTGCACAGAATGGGCAACAGCTTTGATAGGCTTTCGGGCGGCAGTGGGAGAGGAAGAGACGGCAGTTACAATGAGAATCCGCGTCGCGCTTGGAGTCGGCGCAGACGTCGCATCCCAGCAGCAGAAGCAGCAGCAGCAGCGTCAGCAGCAGCAGTGGCAGCAACTTCATCGTCATCAGCTGCTTGCCCGCAGATACAGATTGATGCTGCCTTGGGTGGCGTTGGCAGCGACGTCAACTCGCGTCGCTGTCTGACGCACGTCAGCTCAACGCCAAACTTGGGTGGTGCGTGCATCTCTCTCCCTCTGTGTGTGTGTGTGTTAGTATAAGCCGTTAGCTAATTCTTTCGTCCTCGTTGTCTCTCTTTCTCTTTCTCGTTCTCTTACCTGCAGAAACAGGCGCAAATGACGCAGTGGAGCCGCGTTCTTCATCATTTTCTTATGCGGTGAACAATTTTATTTTTATTATTATTATTTATTGCATTGCGTTTCTTTGCTACTTGGTCTGCCTGCGCTTTTTTTTAACGCTCATTATCGTAAGCATTTTGCCCATTATTTTTTATCAAGAAAGTGTTTTGACATTGGGAAAAGTACTTTATACTTAATAATATTCGCTAATTTCAGTATACTATTTTCTGAGAAAGTCAATTTTTCCGTTTTTCCCAATCTGGTGATTATAATATTTATTTTATTATTATTTATTTTATTTTTTATTAATGCAAAAATGATCAGAATTTGCCAAAATAAAGGAAAACGCGCATCTTTAACGGGATGGATTTCAAAATCATAAACATCAAACAAAACACTTTCTTGACATTCCACAGAATGTATAATTTTCAAAGCTGCTCTTTCACTTAGTTGCGAGAAACGAATAGTAGAAAAATAAGAAAAAGTCAAACCAAGATAAGTCAATAATAAAGTATTTTTTTTTTTGGCAAGGCAAATAAACAAAGATGAATTTTTTCCTGTGGCAAAACACTTTCTTGACGTAGTGTTTGCACAAATGTACATATGTTCGTCAGTCCGTCTGTTTTTCTGTTCGTCTGTTTGTCTGTTAGTCTGTTTCGAGCCGCTCGGTCAGTCACATCGGATGACTATGTTTGTATATATGTACCTGGCATAGGAATGACCAATAATCATTGCTTAAATATACTACATTATAACGTCGGTGAAATTAACATAATGCTATTAATTGAATATGAAAGTCATCTGAACATTTTCGATAGGTATCCGAATCAAAGTCTGTCGCAACAAGTTTGATTGTGCTTCCAACATTTTTCTATTTAAATTTATTCCGAATTTCCGCAAGGGTATGCAGTCTTCGGTGTGCATTTCATATATCCGATCTTTATTGTTGTCTTATTTAATAATTACTTTTGCATTTGTTTGCTCATTTCACGGAAAGACTAATTAATTTGTTGGCACACACATATATATATCTATCTATCTATATATATACATATATATATATATGTATATATCGATGCTTAATTATCTCATTCTATTTGTTTCGCTGTTCATTTGGATTGTTCTGTGGACCATTTGCACTCTTTAGTCGGTTGCCGAATTGTCGTCGGTCGACTTGTGACTTGTGACCTGCTCCGATGGTTCCACATCTTATTTCGGGCTTAGCGGTAAGCGTCTCTGTGTCGCTGTCTGTGTCTGTGTGTGTGTTTTTTCCTACTTTATTTACTCAATTTCTCTGCGCATCCTTCTTGGTTTGCAGCAGCAGCTGGCAGTGAAAAAACATTGCATACTTTCGAGCGGCGCGCATAATTTTAGTCGCCTTTGGTTGTCTTGGCACCGTTGGAGTGAATTTGTAATACAAATTGAAGGTTTTTCCAATAACTTAAGCCAGTGATTGAATTACGTTTAATGGTCCATGCTACCATATATTTGATTTGCGCATTTAATATCCGTTGCAGCCAGAGACTAATCTGGGAATATCCTTGTTGGCAAGGCTGCATACACCATACACACTCAAATTTTGTTCAATTATTATTATTATTACCTGCATTTTCAATGCAAAAAGAAAGAAAAAGTTCCACAAAATACCGGTAGTCGTTTACTTTTCGTACCAGAATCGGAATTGGAACCTAAATTCGAATCGGTTTAGTATAATTTGTTTGAATTGTGGTTTTACTCTCCAGGATTTGGATGATTCTGTGCACCGACTTGTGATTAATGAATGTTTCAATTGTTTTGCCACTGCTTGATTATAATTTGTATTATCATGCGTGTTTACATATTTATTTATTTTTACTTTTTTAATTAAATTTATCTAATATAAACTGATTATATGTGTTAAATTGGTGTGACAGGAGAAAAATATTTAACTGAAGGCTGCTTCAAGCATGAAATTCATTTTATTAGTGTACTCCGAATCAGTTTGAATTGTGACGCTATTTATTATTATTATTATTACTATTATTATTGGGGTACCTGCACTGCTCGATCTATTGTGCTCCCTTCCTTAGCCTATAGCTCCCAAGGGCCTCTATGTCTTTGAGGGCCTCTATGCCTTTGAAACTCATAACATGCATCCCAAGGATGCTGCATCTTCTTCTAGTTAAGGCGACACACTCTGCTAGGATGTATATTGAGGGTTCTTCCTCGCTTTAAAGAAAACCCGCATAGTTCGCTACTATAAATACCTAAATTAATTAGGTGACTTCTAAGCCATTTAATTGAGCATCGCATCGCATTCTACTCGGACACTGAGTCTTTACTGCACTCCTTTCATTTTATTCATTAGTCATTCATTCACCAAATGCTGTTGTTTGTTTTGATTTTTATTTAATTTGGCATAAATTGATTTTCATTAAGATAAGAAACCGATAAGCCAAATTCATTTAGCCTCAGAATGATTACTCAGAGAGAGAGAGACTCTCTAGTTTGAATGCAGCCATGCTTAAATACAAATACAAATACAAAAACAAATATTATGCATATTTGAGTTGAATTTAAAGCGAATATAAATATTTACACACTGGTTTTGGTGTCGTTGTCGTCGTCGTTGTTGCTGTCAACAAAGATAACGTATTTAAACAATTACACACTGAGAAAGCAATAACAGCGACAAGGGCAAGAGCAATATGAGAAAACACAGAGCAGAGCAGAGCAGAGCAGACTCATTGTGTTTATGTAGATTAAATTTGGATCAGCACATTTTCCGATCGCTGAAAACAACACCAGTGACTTAATATATCTATCTCTGTCTCTGTCTCTATCTCTCTTTGTTATATATAATTTGTAAATAATCTTGATCAGTATAAACAGCCGAATCAATATTGTTTAAGATATGGCTGCCAATTCGATTTGTATCGTACAGGGTATCTTCATGTCTAGCTCATTTGTCTAGAGCCGCCTCACATGTTTATCTCTCATGGTTCCGGAGTAGGGATGAGAGCGTGTCTACATTTCCTCCAGTTGTTTATTGTATCAAATTGATGTATACTGAAATTCAAATCACACGCTGTTATAATAAATAAATTGCGCTCAGATGATAATGATATCCATAGAATAAATATGGTTTATTTAACTTATGTACGATATATATATATATAAATATAGTTTTCCTTGTATGAGTTTATCTTACTTTATGCGAACGTGCGCGTATTCTTTTGACTAATTTTAAACTATTCGAGCAGGCACGCAATGTGTATTTGCTACTAGGGTCGTGTCACGTGGCACAACAATGTGTTCCGCTCGAGTCTACAGAACAGAGCGTGTCTGATAGGCTGATAGCCATATTTGCAATAGTCACAGTCGCAGTCACAATCCAAGTGGTAACCGTGGAAAACTGCTCAGTTGATTGTCGCTACTCAAGTTGAAAGTTGGGAATTATGCATGCTGCGTGCTTTTAAAAGCAATATCAACAAATTGATCGTCGTCGAATACTAAAAAGCAACGGCAAGTGATTGCATGGAGTGGACATGGCTTAAGGACTGGTGGCGCCTCAAAAAGCTACGATCGCGTCATCAGCGCCATAGAAAGAAGTTGGAAGCAAATTCTTGTAGCGGCGTCACTTTGCCCACAAATCAGTTGCAAGATGCTGACGAGCACTCGACGCCGGATAGCGAGGAGCGCAGTTGCGACCCGGACACGCATAAGCGAGCCAGACGCCGCAACAGACGCAGTGGCATGCCACAACAGCAAATGACAAAGATGAAGGAGGGCGAGGATGGCAATGGCGAGTATGGGCCATTTAACGGTTGCGACTACGCTGATCATGATTATCAATGCGGCGTCAGCAACGACGACAACAACAGCGACGATTTTTGTTACTGCGACGAGTGCCTCAATGTAGGTGACGCTCATCGCTCATCGCCCATCGCTCATCCCCATCGTTCATCGCTCATCGCTTATTGCTTGTATATCGCTTATCTTGGCCAGGCCTAAATTAGACCTCGTTAATCAGTTGTGGGAACAGCAAATTGTTGTTTAGCCATCGCGCCAATTGAAACTACAAATATTCAGTTGCCATTTGCTTATTATCAGCCGGCTTATTGTGCGTTGGGCTATTCACCCGGTTCGTTGGCAGAGTATTGTCTAGTCGAGATCTCCTTTTTTACTGCCTAATATTGCTCCACTTTTGGCTTTCCCAGGCAAAGGAAATCACCTTCGATCTCATATAAATAATATGAAATATAATTGAATATTTGTTCGGCATTCCTGAGTTAGTTGATCTTTTTCAATCTTAATCAAATCTTTGCACAATTCCAAAAATATATAAAATATTTGGAACATGTAAGAATATAAATTTCTACTTGAAATCTCAAAATAAGAAAACGCATCAAGCAAATGATCAAGTTTGCTTAACAAAATTGTAATAAATTTTAATTTGTTTTCATTTTTTTTTGTTGTTACTATTAATGAAATTGGAGTGGCAAATAAACAAGTTCCTAATCGAAAGCATTTCCATTTGAATATAATTCAAAGGGCGACACGGACTTTGGGGACAGCAATGACGGAATGGATTCCGATACGAGCACCTCGTCAAGTACCAGCAAACAGGTCATTGTGGGCATCTGTGCGATGGCCAAGAAGACACAATCGAAGCCAATGAAGGAGATATTGACGCGGCTGGGAGAGTTTGAGTTCATTCGCCTGGTGACGTTTGAGGAGAATGTGATATTACGCGAACAAGTACAGAACTGGCCCATCTGCGATTGCCTTGTCTCTTTTCACTCCAAAGGCTTTCCGCTGGAGAAGGCGATCGAGTATGCGCAGCTCCGCAATCCGTTTGTCCTCAATAATCTGCATATGCAGTACGACATCCAGGACAGACGACGCGTCTATGCCATACTGGAGAAGGAGGGCATCGAAATACCGCGCTATGCTGTCCTCGATCGCGACTCACCCGATCCGAAGCGTAAGTGACGCCACTACCTTGTCCTTATCCTATAGAGAAACTTGTGCTTAACTCGCTACTTATTTTTAGATCATGAACTCATTGAGTCGGAGGATCATGTTGAGGTCAATGGTATTACGTTTAACAAGCCGTTTGTCGAGAAGCCCGTCTCGGCGGAGGATCACAACATCTATATCTACTATCCAACGTCTGCGGGCGGTGGCAGCCAGCGTTTATTTCGCAAAATTGGTAGCCGTAGTAGCGTTTACTCGCCGGAGTCGCGGGTGCGCAAAACGGGCTCCTTTATCTACGAGGACTTTATGCCCACCGATGGTATGCTTTCTATGCTCTCTATGCTCCCTGTCTATGCAATCAATACTGCTCTAGGTACTGCTCTCTAGCACGCTCCAGCCAATGCTGGTCTAGTCAATCAATCACACACGCATTCCAGCAACCAGTAACCAGTAACCAGTAACCACCACCACCCGTCCCGCTCCCTTTCCCCCAACCAACAAAATAAATAGCCAAATTATATATGTATTTAGGATGTTCCGAATTCAATCTCAGCGCAGCAATCTATGCTTGTCACGCCACTCCACGCCACGCCACGCCCCCATAACCACCAGCATTAACGCCCATTAACGCGCATACAATAAAAATTTAAAAAAAAAAAGTATGTAAAAAGTAAAAAGAAAGAAAGAAAAGTACATTTATATATAGCACAACATAATGTCATTGGCATTGTCTTGCGTCTCGCTCGCTCACCTGCAGCTTGGTAGATCGTTGCTCATTGCTATCATTGCCGATATCTAGTCCCCCAAGAAAAACTGGTCGCCAGTCGAACGCACTGAATCCAGCATTACCTTTACAACTTAGTGTACTTTTCAGGCACCGACGTCAAGGTCTACACCGTTGGTCCGGATTATGCCCATGCGGAGGCACGCAAGAGCCCGGCGCTCGATGGCAAAGTGGAGCGGGATAGCGAGGGCAAGGAGATACGCTATCCGGTTATACTTAATCACTCGGAGAAGTTAATATCGCGCAAGGTGTGCTTGGCCTTCAAGCAGACCGTCTGCGGCTTTGATCTGCTGCGAGCCAATGGCAAGAGCTACGTTTGCGATGTCAACGGATTTAGTTTTGTGAAGAACTCCAACAAATATTATGACGATTGCGCCAAAATTCTGGGCAACATGATACTGCGGGAACTCACGCCGACCCTCCACATACCCTGGTCGGTGCCATTCCAGCTGGACGATCCACCCATTGTGCCCACAACATTTGGCAAAATGATGGAGCTACGCTGCGTTGTGGCCATAATCAGGCATGGAGATCGCACGCCCAAGCAGAAGATGAAGGTCGAAGTGCGCCATCCGAAGTGAGTTCGAGTTTTATCAACTTACTGCTCACAATCCATTTATTCACACATCAATGATACTTTCTCTATGCAAAGCAATCCGAAGCGTTCCGAACCAAAAAATCGTCCTGAATTTTAGAAATACGCCGAGCGTAATTCAACTTTTTATTCAAAGAGTGTTTCTTTTGTTGCTTAGACGAATTAACATTAGCGTTTTATGATTGCAACACTGAGCTACTTGGTCTCTAAGCTAAACTCTAACATAAAAGCCGAGTCAGTAAATTTCATTACTTGTTTCTGAATTTTAGAGACAATTTCAGTTTGCATTTCGACTTTTTAGAAATGCATTTCTTAATGATGGAGAATATGTGATGAAACAAATCAAATGTCTCCGTCAGTGCATATATCTGAGTCGTCCACATCGGAGCATTGTCATTGGACTTATCGGTTGACAGATCGGTTGCTGGTTGACAAATTATTTTGATCATCACGAAATCCAAACCAAACTCATGGGAGTGCCTAGGATAGTTTTTCTATCAAATCTCAGAGAACGATTAAATGCGTACAATTTACAATTAAATTGGTATTGTTTTCGGCTTTTAGTTTCCGCCTCCGGCTTCCAGGTCACTATAAATGTTGATCTTAACTGCGTAAAAACCTCCATTTGACTTGCGACTGCCCAAATTGTTGCAGTTATGTTTTTGAACTATCAAATGTTGTTCACCATCTTATCTCTATTTTAAAATTGGTGCCTTTTTTTTCGAAATCGGAAGAGGAGCTATCAATAAATTAAGCTTCGAATTTATGTGTCACGTTTGATCGAAATCAATTTGATTTGATTGAAGCTGATCAAGAATATGTACTCTGGGCTCATGCATTTGTAATCGTCGGTTTGGTTGTGATAGGTTGGTAATCAGAAGATCATTTTTCATCGAATACGTTTCATTTTGCAGATTCTTTGAGATCTTTGAGAAATACGACGGCTACAAGCTGGGACACGTGAAGCTAAAGAGGCCCAAGCAGCTGCAAGAAATACTTGATATAGCCCGATTTCTGCTTAGCGAGATACACACAAAGGCGCATGCGGAGATTGAGGAGAAGGAGAGCAAGCTGGAGCAGCTAAAGAACGTTCTCGAAATGTATGGCCATTTTTCGGGGATTAATCGCAAGGTGCAAATGAAATACCAGCCCAAGGGACGTCCACGTGGCTCCAGCTCTGATGATGGTAGGTCCTTGTCATTTTTATTAACTAATCTAATCGCACGCTAAGTCCTAACAATTCCAGCCGAGACGCCCGCCGAACCCTCGCTGGTCCTCATCCTCAAATGGGGCGGCGAACTAACGCCAGCGGGTCGCATACAGGCCGAGGAGCTGGGACGCATTTTTCGCTGCATGTATCCGGGCGGACAGGGACGCTCCGACTATTCGGGCACACAAGGCTTGGGTCTACTGCGGTACGTACTAAAATTGTTCTTATTGTGTCCCCCTTCAACACTTCAATCTTAAGTGGTTTCCCCAATTCAAATCTAAATTGTAGTTTGCACTCAACGTTTCGTCACGACCTCAAGATCTATGCCTCGGATGAGGGGCGCGTTCAAATGACTGCCGCTGCCTTTGCCAAGGGACTGCTGGCACTGGAAGGCGAGCTGACGCCCATCCTGGTCCAAATGGTGAAGAGCGCCAATACAAACGGACTGCTCGACAACGATTGCGATTCAAGCAAATACCAAAACCTGTAAGTATCCATCATCGAACAAATATGCCGCAAATGACTGTTTAATAATTATATGATTGCTTTGTTCGATTTGATCAATAATTTCCGATTCGATAATTGACATATCATAAATACACTTCCGACTCAATTGTGCTCAATTGTTTCTTAATTTGTCGAATATCATTGTTGTCTGTGTTTAGACAGCTCAAAGCGCTGTAGAAGGCGCAAAAGAGTCTCAAAATTGGTCTAGAAATTACCGAACCGATAACTGGATAGCTTTTTTTTTGCTTTTTATATTTGTGTCGATCAAAGAACTATAGAAATTTAGCCTAGTTCTAGAATAGCAAACAGGAATCATTCAATTCCAATAGTGAATGTTATTTAAAAGTCGGATTGTTTTCAGGCTCCTCTTTGAGCCTGACCAGTCATCATTTTTGACATATTATGTAATTGAATGAAATAGTAATAAATTCTTAATCCAAACAGCGCCAAGGGTCGACTGCACGAGCTGATGCAAAACGATCGCGAGTTCACACAGGAGGATCGTGTCTTGATTAATCCGTGCAACAGCAAATCAATAACGCAGGCTTTGGACTTTGTCAAGAATCCGGTTGATTGTTGTCATCATGTGCATTTGCTGATACGCGAACTGCTACACATTATAAGCATTAAGAAGGACGATCCAAAGACAAAGGATGCGATACTGTACCATGGCGAGACATGGGATCTGATGCGCTGTCGCTGGGAGAAGATTGAGAAGGATTTTAGCACAAAGTCAAAGCTCTTCGATATCTCGAAAATACCCGATATTTATGATTGCATCAAATATGATTTACAGCACAATCAGCATACGCTGCAATACGATCAGGCCGAGGAGCTGTATATCTATGCGAAGAACCTGGCCGATATTGTAATACCTCAAGAATATGGTCTGACACCGCAGGAGAAGCTGGCCATTGGTCAGGGTATTTGCTCACCGCTGCTGCGCAAAATCAAGGGCGATCTGCAGCGCAACATTGACGAGATCGAGGATGAGTTCATGAACCGACTGAATCCGCACTACAGCCACGGCGTGGCCAGTCCGCAGAGGCATGTGCGGACCCGGCTCTACTTTACGAGCGAGTCGCATGTGCATTCGCTGCTGACGGTGCTCCGTTACGGCGGATTGCTGAATGTCGTCACCGACGAACAGTGGCGCCGTGCCATGGACTATATATCGATGGTAACGGAGCTGAACTATATGTCCCAGATTGTTATAATGCTGTACGAGGATCCGACCAAAGATCCAACATCGGAGGAGCGTTTCCATGTCGAGTTGCATTTCAGTCCGGGCGTCAATTGTTGCGTACAAAAGAATTTGCCACCTGGGCCCGGATTTCGGCCGCACTCACACGGCGACAACTCGTGCAACTCGAGTGTGCAGTCCAACGAGGAGTCGAATCCATCACGCATCGAGGAGGAGAACGACACCATTCCAAGCGAGGAGCAGCAGGGCAAGATGCGCAGCGTATGAACTGCTATATACTATATACACACATACATTACAATTATGCCAGACTTAAAGGCTTTAATCATATTTCCCTCTCTCTCTCTCTGTTGTTGTCTCTGTCTTGCGATAATATGTAGTGCCCGTTGTCGAATGCGCGGAATACAACTGGCAACTCATTTGGCTTTAATCGGCTGGACCTGCGCTCCAAGCAGTCCAAGTCGAAGCCCATCCCAATTGGGGCCCATCACACGGTCAGCGGTCACGAGGCGATGGATTTGGCGAAACGTCTAAACGAGGAGCTCGCCTCGCAGCAGCAGCAACAGCAGCAGCAGCTGCTGCTCCACAACCAGGGCAACCAGGGCCACCACCAGCACTACCAGCACCACCATCAGCATCAGCAGCAGCAACTGCGACCCATCAGTCCCGATATACGGGCCGGCAGTCCCGATTGTGAGCCGCGCTCGCGCAGCTACGAGCAGCGTGGATCGCCGTCGGCAAGTCGCGACAAGGAGGCGGGTATGTATGTATGTGTGTGTGTGTGTGTGTGTGTGTACGTGCGTGCGTGTATGTGCGTGCGTGCGTGTGTGTCTGGCTGTGTGTATGTGAGCGAAGAACGCCTGGCCGCAGTGTGACCAACAGCAAGCAGCATATAACTGCCTGGTCTCACTGGTCGGCATTGTTTACCATTTGAATTTTGATACATTTGTTGTTGACTGACTTGATTTCAATATTCGCTTTATCCTTTTATCGTTCTAATTTTGTACTTGTTCAACTTTTTACATACATTTGTTATTTTTCTCTTTCTTAATTGGCCTCTTTAACACAATCGACAAACAATTGGCTATCTCAACTAACTTGGCTATTTGTCTACTACGTTATTTCTGCTTAGTTGGTTGTCCAAAACTTATACGTTTATTATTATTATTATTTTGTTGTTGTTTTGCATGCCAATTGTATTCTATCTATTTCTCCTTCCCAAAACCAAATAAAAGATCCACAAGTCCAGGCAAATGCCAGCTGAAATAATGCTGATATGTAAGATATTTACTGACTAATTTTGCTCAATGCAATAATACAATTTGAATACTCTGTTCTCAAGAGGAGAAGCTTGCACTGTCATTTAGAGTCTTAGATAACTATATATATTTTATACATAATTGGTCAGTAAGCGTTGATCATCTTCAAGGGTTAAGATTGTGAATCAGGCTTTGTTGAAGAGAAATCTCCAAGAATTTTGAAATATCGTCGCAAAATGTGTATCGTATAGCATTGATGGGGACATATCCGATATTTTTTTATTTATTTTTTATATATGTATTCTTGATCAGCATAAGTCAAGTCAAAATAGCCATGTCCATCTCAGTTTTTAAGCTTTACGAAATTTGCCATTTATCCGCACATCAAAAACTTATCAAGTCGTCTGGATCGAACCACTATTTTAATAACGTATAAACATATATAGGTAAATATGTGAACAACTTGTATGTTGAGAGATGTTTTCAATAAATGCACAGACATCGCACTAGATTACTAGTATACGAGTATCATGTAGCTTCCATAGGAACAATCTGTCAATGTTTAGGTTGTTGTATGGAAAATATCACAAATATGTCGTCTAAGGGTATTTAATCTTCTGCATCCCAGAGATTATAATTCTTGTTAATTTTCTGCTATACTTTTATATATATATATTTTTTTTAAAAATATTTTTTTATTTATTTATTCTTCTAAGATATTAATCTTTTAATATAATTTTTGTCCTGGTTTAATTATTATGGTTGATGCTGCTCTGGAATGCTAAGCAACAATTTCCATATTCTTATATTTCTATCATAATATTTTTTTTCAAGCATCACAAACACAAAAAAGTAGAGCCTAACATTTTTGATTTTCATTTTTTCCACACGACAAAAACTATTGTTTATGAAGAAGAAACAAAAAATAATAAATAAATATATAAAGAAATTAAAAACCACACACACACACTCACACACACAAACTGTGTGTGGCTCCTGACAACAAATTGAGCTCTCTCTCTTTCTCTCCTCCGACTTAAGAGCGTGAGCGAGAGTGAGAGAGAGAGCTCAACGGACGGAGGTTGAAGCTGTTGGGGAAATAAATGAAAATCGATAGGCATCTGGCCGCGGAATCCCGTGTACTTGGCAATGCAGCTAAACTGAACTAAGCAATACTCATTCAATCTTAACCATGTACTTAGCACCCACTATCCACTACCCACCCAGGCAAAAAACCTATGAAGTATAGACGAATTCATATAGCGCCAACGATGATTATTATTAACAACTTAGCTGAGTGCCAGGAAGCGCTGTCAAGCCCATCATATATATATGTATATAATATATAATATATGATATATTATATTGCAAGCAGTTTCGACAAACTAGAGACAAAGAGAGCATAATAATACGATGTCACTCACTCTCTCTCTCTTCCCCCTCTCTCTCCCCTCTCTCTCTCTCCCTCTCTCTGTCTCTGAATGATAGACTCTGTCTTAAAGATGGTGCCAATTGCGACAACGCTGCTGGCATCCAACTGATGTTGGTTAATATGATCTCGTGTGGTTGTTCTCTCGCTCCTTCTCTCTCTCTCTCTCTCTCTCTATCCCTCTCTCTCTCTCTCTCTATCCCTCTCTCTCTTTCTCTTTCTATCTATGTTATTTTTTATATCATTTATTTACTTATTGCTGTCTCTGTCGACTATATACATAAATATGTCTCGTCTGTGTAGTTTCGTCTCTCTTTCTTTCTTGCTCTCCCTCTGTCTGTCTCTCTCTCTCTCTCTCTCTCTCTCTCTCTCTCTCTCTCTGTCTCTGTCTCTGTCTTTCTATCTAAATACATTTCTTTATTGCATGATACGATCAGATCTAAAGATTGTTTATTGAATAGTTTTTGTCTTGGTTCGTTCCAATACCAAGTGTGACATTCTCAAAAATGAATGTTCTTTGTTCGTTGTTATTCGTTATTGTTATTGTTGTTGTTGTTGTTGTTGTTTTCTTTGTTAATTGTGCGCGCAAATCCCAAGCAGACTAACCCTAACCAACTAACCAACTAACCCTAACCCCAAGCCTAACTCGACGACGCTAACTCTCAGAACTAACTGGACTCATTTTGACCAATTGCCTGCTGTTGTTCAACGCCATCGACGCTCTCTGCCTGCCCCATTATGCAAAGCAAAATATTATTCAATTTAGATATGTAAATAGTTATTATATATTAATATTAGTTTTTGGGAATTACAAAGAGGGTCCGTTTTTTCCGCATTGCTCTCGATATAACGCTTCTGCTCCTTCTCGAGTTCCGTTTTTGGCTTCAGTTGTTACTAACACTTGTTACCGTTGACCGTTCCAAATATTTATTGATTTATAAGTTACGACTTTATCGACAATATTGTGCAGATGACAATATTCGCTTTCCTATTTTGTTTCTGTTTGAATTTATATGAAATTTTTACCAGCTTTATCAAAAACGTATCCTATCCCGTCGCCTAAAATAAATTTATAAATATCAAATATAATTCACACATAGTTTAAGGCAGTTATATTTGAAATTAATTAAAGGATTAGAATATCAGTAGTGTTCCATTGCCGATTCTTCGTTTCTTTGTGAGACTCAATTCCGGTCTTTCAATGATTGATCAATCAAAGCTGACTATGACTAATAATATGACATAATAAATTTATGAAATTGCATATAAAATTCAGCATTCAAAATGATTTGACAAATGGACTTCGAATTCTTTAGCATAATGAATGATAGATGCCATTATTTGATATCAGACATTAAAGAGCAAAATCACTGATTTTCGGTGCTTTAAGTAATCCTAAGAATAACTCAAGTAGCTGAGAAATATGCATAGGGATAATAAGATAATAATAAACTTTAATTTCTGCAACACCAAGCAGACCCAAAGACTAGCAATATATATATATATATATATATAGATTAAAGATATAGTAAGCAGCAGCAGTCGTTTCGGTAAAGATATTTGTTATAAGCAGAGAGTTTTTTGCTTATTTTGCATTTGCAGGTGCGTTCAGCTTTCGGCATGCCGAAGATTAGTTTTCCTCTCTTGTTTTACTTGAAAACTTGTTTCGTTTTTGGTTTTGTTTTTTTTTTTTTTGGGTATTTTCGGCTAATTAGTTTTTCGTTTGTTTACTCTCGACCTACATACGTACGCACACTTATACACACACACACACACACACCACATACACACACACACACGTTCGCACACACACACACACACACACAATCTTCTTTGAACGGAAAACGAACATCGAACCAAATACAAATACAAATACAAATACAAATCCGAATCCAAACGATTTTCCCCCGCTTGCGACTCTTCTAATATTCAAATAGCGCCGTCGGCTAGCTTGGATGAGATCGCTAATGCTCGCATGGGCGTGGGCGTGGGCGTGGCCAGTGGAAGTAGCGGCAATCGGACCGCAATTCAAATACGCGTTACAGATAAATTGTCCTTCTTCAAGATCGATTCGTCGACCAATGAATTGCCGCTGTCGGACATCGATTTCTCATTGACGCCGGGCACGCCGCAGTGCCTCAATGTGAATGCCGGCAGTCGGACTCACAAGCGCCACAATCTGTTGCGGATGCGGCGAATGGTTAGCGGTGATGAGTCCGATTTTGAGGGAGTACAGCCGCAAATCTCAACGCTGGCCACAAACGAGCGGCCATTGAGCTGCAATTGCAACTGCAGCAGCAGCAACTCGTTTCCGCTCGCCTCGGCGCATGCCCACTCCAAGAGTCTTATGCAACTGGCCGGGAGCAGGGACAGTCAAGGTCAGGCCAGTGCTGCTGCTGTTGCTACTGCTACTGGTGCTGGTGCTGGTGCTACTGCTCGGAGCACAGCTTCTTCTGTTAGCTTCGAGTATGATTTCCAGGCATCGAGCTCGGCTCCAGCGGTGCTCTTAAGCGGCACATTTGGGCAGCAGCAGGCGTTGGGCGCTGGGCACAGCACCAGTTCACCGACAGCCTCCACATGGCGGCTGTGCATGGAGATGGACATAGACAGGGACAGGGAGAGGGAAACGAACGTTTCGCGTCATCGGCAATTGGAGCGCGGGCGGCGCAAGGTCAACAGCCATTCGTGTGGCCAACTGTCCATTTTGCTGGCAACGCCGCCCGCCTTGCCAGAGAATCCCTTTCGCTTTGGGGCAATGGGGCAAGTGCAAGCGGCGGCGACGGCGGCGCCGGCGGCAACCGCCGCATCAGTTGCATCAACTGGTGGCAATGCATTTGTCAGCTGCTTTGCGCCCATTGCCGAGCATGTAACGCCTTCGGCCACGCCCAGTCAGACGCCCATCGAGGAGCAGATGTTGTATAACATACCCAGCCTGCTGATCACAGCCACAGCCAGCGTGACAAGCAACCTAACCACTCCCACATCGATTACAGTGACCCCGACCATACCACTACCACCACCGCCACCCACTAAAACAGCAACAGCAACAGCAACTGCAACAACTTTAATAGAAACAGCAACAACTACAACTGCAACTGCAATAGCTTTGTTTAAGACCACAGCAACAATGTCTTCTAATCAAACTAATACTAACCAATTTAAACCAATCGATCCCTCCCCAATTGACGCACCAAAACAATACACCAACCACCAACACCACCACCAACACCACCACCACAACAAAAACAACAACAACAACACAAATACCATCATCAACATCAATACACACACAACAATTACCATAACACCACCAACAACAACAACAACAAAAACAACAACCATGGACAACAACAACATCATCACAACGTCCCCGTCTTGTTGTACCAATTGTACCATCGATACAGATAGCAACAATTCGGTCTCGGTATCAGCATCGGTATCATCAGTATCAGCCAATTCGTCCTCCACATCGTCGCGTCGCCAAAGACACAGTATTGCCGGCCAGATGTCCTATATGAAAATGTTGGGTTTCGGTGGTTTTAGCAAAAAGATGGCAACCAGCGCAAATAGCCTTTTCAGTACGGCAGTTATAAGCGGCAGCTCATCGGCGCCGAATCTACGCGATATGATACCGGTATCATCATCCGGTGAGTACACACAACTACACACATATCCACACACACTTGTATATATATATATATATACATACATACATACAGATCCAAAACCCCCACACACAAACAGTTAAGCTCTTAACATTCATACAAAAAACTGCATGAATCGCGACCTGTTGCCCCTCTACATAAGAAGTTATCCACAAATTACAATAAACAAATATAAAACATAGAAATATAGAATGCAACATTTTGCATATAACATTTTTTAAAATGAAACTTTAACATTCAAATTCCTTCTTCTTTTTTTAATAACATTAAGAACTAAATATTTTATCTCTTTAAATTGATTGAGATTATCTTCAAAACAGAAGCAAATCTCTTTTCAAGGACAGCCGAGCTATGTTTAAAAGTCTGCGCCTTAACACACATTTCATATTATCGCTTTCTATTTTTTATTTATTTTTTTTTTTTTTTGTATTTTAGACACCTTCTTCTTAGCTTACTTTAACAAAACAGGGCTGCCAGGTGTCTCAGGTTTGAGCAAAGCAGTTACTAGCTTATATTTTTGTTAGAAATCTAAATATAAAATGATTTTTTTTTTTGCTTAGTTTCTACTTGAATGATCGATTCAATGAAGAAGAAAGTAAAATAACAATATAAATTAAAAACAAAAGGAAAGTATTTAAAAATGTGATTTACCAAGCGTATTTCGAAATATATATGAAACTAAACAAAAACTCGATAAATATTTGTTGTGTACTAAATTCTATCTCAGTTGGGAGTTCTAATTGGAACACAAAATATATTAATGCATTTTCAAGCGACAAACTTTACAAATTTCCAAAATGTTCCTAATGTGGCTGCAAACCTATCTACAAATGTGAAATCACTGAATGTATTTTGCACAGTGCACCAAAAGAGAAAAGACCCGTGTTGTGGCATATGCAACGCACATACATACATACATACATACATACATACATACATACACATACATCAATCAATCAGTCAATCAATCAATCAATCAATCAATAATACACTCAAATCTAATTATATTGTAATTAAATATGGTTAACATGTCTTAATTCTGTGGCTCCTCTCTCTTTTATTTAACTCTCCATCCGCTTCCGGTTCCAATTCCATTTCCATCCAATCACTTTTTGAATACATAATGCCTGTATACTGTATAAAATCTGAACACCGAACGGATGTTAATCCAATTTTAATTGTTTAATTGGTTCAAATGTGTGCCCGGCGTTTAGGGTTCGGGGATGTGCCGCCGATACGACCACTGGAGACACTGCACAATGCACTGTCGCTGCGGAAACTGGACAGCTTTCTCCAGGATATGATAGCCCAGATCTCCAAGACGCCGACGGGTTCGCCGCCACGCGTTCTTGGTGGCGCCACAGCCGTTGCTACCAACGAGTCGATAGTCGTTGCACCAGCACCTGGAGTTGGTCAGGTCATATCGGTATCGGATATAACATCGAATTCAATGGCGGCGGATCCTGAGCAAAAAGATGCCCGTTTGACCAAGAGGCCTAACCAGAATGCAACTGGCGAGACCAGTGATTATTCTGGCATCAGCGAGTCCGATCCGAGTGGTGCTGCACGGTCATCAGAGCCCGACGAAGATGTCAACGATGTGGCAGTGCAACACGTGCAACAAATTGCAACAGCACAAATACAGCGTAAGTTCTCTAAACGTAAGCCATGGATTTCTTGGTGAATCTTGGAGCTCCTCATTGCTGTTGTCCCACTTATCTGATGATGGGCATTGGCTCATTGGAGACTCTCTTTACAAATTTTCATAAGCAAATTTTCTGTTTTTTTTTTCTTTTATTTTTTGTTTTGATTTTTTCAGAGGATTGAAACTATCGCATAATTTGTCACTTATTGTTTCAGTGATTTATCAATTACTGTATATATATATATATATATTTTTATAGAGATTTGATGTGCATTGTTGGAATCACTATAAATGAATAGAACATTACCATTATCACGTTTTATTTGCGATCTGGGCTCATATATATATATATACTCGTATATATATATATATATATATATACATATATGATATAAATTATATACACATGTGCATATGTGTGTGTTGCATGCACTTCCAATTGCCTAATTGCCTATCGCGTCGCACTCTTTGCTCTGGCTCTGACTCTGACTCTTCCTCTTCATTTTCCTTTTCCTTTTTATCGTTTGCCTTGCCTTGCTTTGCCTTGCCTTGCCTTGTCTTGACTAACGAATAGCTTCGGCTCGTCCTCTCACGCACTGAGGGCTTCTGACTCTTGCACATTCTCGCTCTCCCTCTCTCTCTCTCTCTCGCTCTTTCTCTCCCTCTTAATTCCGTTACACTGACAAAAATAAAACGCAAAAACTAACAACTTGAACAATTGAAACACAACCGCAACGAAGCCGGGCAACAACAGCAGCAGCCACAGGACATCGTATCTGTGGAGCACCAGGATGCTGCTCCCCTTCAGAATGTGAACAGGTGGGTGTGATCCTTCCCCTTCCCATTTCCGTTAACTGTAGTCCATTTACCAATCGCATATATCTTTTTGCAGCCCCTTGAGCACTGTGGAGATTGTGATGATGAATGAGCCAGATGTGTCGGATGAGCTGCACTCCTTTTTGCCCATGAACCAGGATACGCTACAGCTGGCCGACGGCAGCATCTATCTGAGTGTCTGCGATGAATTTGGACCGGGCAGCACATCCCTTACCCCAGTCAGTACTGGGCTGGACATCGACCTTGACCTGAGCATGGTGGCCAACAAGGGTTCCATGACGCTTTCCATAGATGTGAGTGATTGGGTGGCAATTGCAATTATACCTTCTCTTATTAAATCTATCCAATTAAATCTTAATTGTGATAAATACAAAATCAAGCCTGGTCAAAAGGATTTGACTATCCCTATATGACTAAAAATCTTATAGTTCAATATATATATATGTATCTTTTATATGGTTTCCCAAAGTTCATTAGGATAATGATAGAATCCGTACAAAAACAATTTCAACTATTTGCTCCCAGCGTTCTTAATTGGAAAACTAATATTTGCTCATAGTATGCGTAGTAGACTTTTATTAATAAATCTTCCATTGTAGAACAATGCTTGGTGTAATCTTTTTGCATAAACTAATAAATGGTGAAATTAATTCTTCAGAGTTAATCAGCCAACTTGCCTCTTTCCACCTCTTTCTCTTTGCGTCTATGCTATTCATCACACATTTTGTATTTTATGCTCAAATTTTAATGCATTTGTTTCCCCACATTTACCATATATACCAAGTTGCATCAGGATTGCTTTAAAACTGAAAGATTTTTGCTCTTATAATCAAATGGGGTTGAAATTCAACTTAGTTTTTTTTAAAAATATAAATTGAATTAATTTTTTATTGGTTAAACGTTAATGTATTTAAATTATTGCAGGGCTTTGAAGATGACGAGGAGGCCACACCGTCGACAGCAATGACGCCTTCACTGCCTGTCGATGTGGAGCCCAAATTGGAGATGTGCTACTGTTGTTCGGCGCATGCTGTCGCTCCGCCGGAGGTTGCCACCGATGATCCGAAGTATTGCTTTGCTCTGCCGGTGCACATAACGCAGGCCTCGCCGGAGCACACTCGTTCAAGCGTGCGGCGCACTCATGATCCCATCTCGCCGCGCATACAAAAACAAATCAGCATGTTTGAGGGGGCCGCCATCAGTCCGGAGGCGAATGGAGGCGCAATGCATGCCTCGATCAATTTGCCAGCGGTTGCGTATCAGTTGCGTCAGGATGCACGCCTGCGCAAGTTCGAGAACCTAACGCAGTCCACATCCACCTCGAACTTCCCATTTGAGAGCAACACGCTGAAGAGGGCACCGCTGGTCAGCACCAAGGATGACTATGCCAATGTCTCGCACACGCAGAGCTGCATCAATCTGAAGAGCAGCAGCGATGCTGACTCCAGGGCTGGCTCCTTGAGGCAACACACAACTGCAGCCAACTATAATCGGCCGCCCAACGCGCTATCGGTTTGCTATTCGCTGGACACAGATGCAACAATCTGTAGCACACCGACAGCAGGAGCATCAGGAACGGCAGCAGGAGCGGCAGTAGGAACAGCAGCAGGAGCAGGAGCAGGTGCAGCAGATGCGTCACCGCATCCGGGTGCACTGATTGTAAAGGAACGATTCATAGAGCCACCTATGCGTGGCATTGTCCGTGGCTATCACGACAAAACACAGTCAATGGACGCCGACTTTCTGTTCAACGAGTTTCTCCTGCTGCCGGCCATTCCGCCCAAAGTTAATGATGACCAGTCCAAGGAGCAGCCGTCGGAGAACGTCCAGATGCAAAATTATGAACTATAATCTATAACAATTGTTTTATTTCAATCTTCATCTATTTATCTCAAGTTGTAACTTGAATTGTTGTTGCATTCGCACTGTTGCTTAGCCCAAGTATACTAAAATTAAATCTATTTTTCTGTCCGTACACCTGTCTATGTAGAATCATTCAATTCAATTCCAGCCTAGTCGTCGCATGGATTACTTAAGTAACGATAATGATCGCGATGATATTAATGACGATATTGTGTTTGCTGATCATGGGGCGAGCCCAGCACTCAGTGAAAGTGAGACAAAGCGATTAGTAAGCGATTCGATTGCTGTCATTGACCGCATAGCCCAGACCCCAATATGGCTCTGCGAGGGAGTCGCCGCCGCGTGCGACAAGAGACATATATATAGAGAGAGAGAGAAAGAGAGAGAGAGAGAGAGCAGCAGTCAGAATGACTGAGAGGCGGCAGGCAGCCGGTTTTGCGACGTTTTCACTTGTCAGAGCCACATTTATGGTGTCTATTTGTAGACAGACGCATGCATTAACCTCGTTCACATTCGATTGCAAGTTTGAATTTGTATTCGTATTCTGAATTGCGTATGCAAGGCATGCTCTTTGCTGCCAGTCCACATCAACCACCTACTACTGATGAATGTGGCCCTCACTCCACACACACACAGATCCATACATACATACATATATATATATATATATATATATTGAAGTACGAATGTGAATGGGAGCACGAGATAAGTACTGAGTACTTCTTGCTTTCAACAACAGTCTGTAACTGCCTGTATCTGTAATATATTTGTATAATCGTTGCACACAGATAAATGATACATGCCATAGCCCCTAGGGCTGTACAGAATACTTACAAAATAATGCATAAGAAATGTATTGTTGTTTATTATTTGTTTTCATTCAAATGTGTTTCATTGACACGAATTCAATTCGGAATACAAATACAAATGCGACAAGAGCCAGAAATTGAAATTTTGATTGGAACCTCAGGTGCTTCACCTAGTGGAGACTACAAAATAAGAACAGTTCTCATTTGAATTATTAACATATGTGGCTGTTCTTATATGTATTTAACGTATATATCATCTATGCATTTATTATTGGTTTTATCAGAAAAATAACAGCTACAAATGCACAATTTTTGCTCTTCAATTTATTTTATCCTTTAAAGGTAACAATTAGAAAACTTATTCTGGAACAGTATGATTGTTCTATTTGTAAAAAGAAAAACAATAGAGTTGGTCTGGCGATTGGGATACAACTGTGTCTGCATATATCCAGCTTCAAAGGCTTATAATCGTATGGGCAATATTTTCTTTAAAAAAAAATCAAGAACAATAATGTGCTCTATTGTAGAAGTGGCTTTAACGGCGGCTTTTCACATAAATCTAAATTAAGTTTAATCCTATTTTTTATGACTTTACATTATACAATTTTGAATCTTTATCTTTATCTAAACATAAAGAAGGACCTAATAACTATAATATTGACGTCTGGGTTAATCAGCTAACTATTTTGCTCACGAGAAGGACAATTAACTGATGCCAGCCGTAAAGCGTTGGCTTTTAGTTCAACATAAAATAAATTTTAAAAAATCATTAATTTAATACATTGAGTGGTAATAAAAAGGAAAGTCTTAAAAAAACCCAATCAAACCAAAAATTCTAAGTTGTTATTAATAATAAGAAATGCAAATAGTCAAGAAGGCAGGGACAAAGGGCTATTCTTGATCAGCATCACAATTCGAGTCGATATAGTTATGTTCGTTCATTCTTAGGATAGATCTAGATGCTTCACTTTGATATTAGCCATATATACTTTGTAGGGTCGCAGATGCTTCCTTCTGCCTGTTAGATACTTTTCAGCAACTTAATTTTACCACTTTTAGCTATTTGTAATGGGTTAAGGCAATTAACAAAATGCAGCATATTCAAAGTTAATAACTATTTGCTTAAGCTCTCTTCTTGCTGTTGTTGTTGTTGATTTTATTTGCATCAGCAATTTTAGTTTTTGGTGTAATTAGTGTTTTGCACATGTTACCAGCAAATGGAAAAGTTTCCACTCAATTTAGTTTTTCGCGCCAAGTGAAAAGCGAGACACAGTTGAACTGTAACAAGAGTAGAATTGTGCCCATCACTCAAACACACCCACACACACATGTATATATAAATACACATATATATATATTTATTTATGTGTATGTATGTTAACTTATATGGATATGCATTATTTAGCCGTTTGGCGCTGTTTGGTATTTGGTTGGGTGCGGGTGCCCGATGCTATGGGAAAGTTTCGCCATGGGGAAAGTTCTAGCTCTTTTGCATATGGCTTTGCCAATTTATTCAAATCGACATCACGCAAATTAGCTATATACATATATATATATATATATATATATAAATGTATTAGCCTTAAGTGCTTGCATATTTTAAGAACAGGGCCGTTTTCGTTTTAAATTTTAATTAGTCTGGTGTAAATAGTCGTTGGATGGAATATTCACATTTCTCCATGAAATATCTCTAATCATTCTTGTCTACTCACTATCACTCTTTTGCTCTACTTTTCTCTTTCCATTATATTTTCTGTTTTTTACTAAACTAAACTAAACATTAACATTTTGTCGTCTGATTGGGGTTTTTCTGGATTCTTGAGTTCATGATTAGTGGTATCATCTAAAGTATTCACGTTTCTCTGGATGTGATAAGATATGCATTTATCAGTAAGCTAAAATCAGACAATAAAGCAAATTTTATTATTCATTCTTTTTTTTTTTGAGAAACTTACCTTTTTTAGACCTATCTGCATAATATTAACTTGGGTACAAAAAAAGCATTTGCATATATATCAAATATATGTTTGTTTGGCATGTTTTTAGCAAATTGCAGAAAATACAAAAATGAAAAAAAAAAAAATTCAATACGAACCCAAAAATGCAAAACGTTTTTGAGTTTGCACAGAGTCCGATTGACAAAGATTTACTAGTTTGAAGCTTCACTTTCTTTTTCACTCGAGATTCCAACGTTAAATCGATGAGTGCCGATGATGGATGTGTTGTTGCTGTTGTTGTTTTTGTCGTTTGCTTGCTGTTTTATTTGCCGTTTCCCATACCCTGTACGCTGTATAAATGGGTAATCGGTTATCATGAACGGTTATTATAACCCAAAAAGACGATACATATATATATTTGAAATAAGAATAAAATTAATCGAAAGTATATATAAAGTTGGGTGCAAAAAAGTAGATGATTCAATGCCAAATTGATGTTTGATCTAAAACCCAAGCCTGGATGCTTAAAATAAAACTATTAATGTAGCATTGCCAAGTTGTTGTCTTAAAATGTATTAATTTTATATTTAATAACACTGTATCTGAGAGTCAGCCACGCCCAAGACGCCTTCCCTAGTTTTCAAGTTATGCATACTTAAAAGATTTAATTAGAGGTAAATATTTTCTTCAGAGCGTTGGCGAATTCATGCAAATAGGTGCGCTCCATGTGCATTATACAAAGCGATTAAGCCGACTGACTCGCGCTGATTCGCGCTGCATGCCGAAAGTAGCCGAAGCAGTGAACCAACGAAGTTGGCGATCGAAAGGAACTTAGAACTACCGTTGCTTGCAGGCAACAACGAAAATGAAGTCTGTAAGACAGAGACAGACGCCGCTGCATATCGATAGGCAAATATAATTATTTCCAAGAGATTTCTTTGCTGACTGCTCGCACCCACACACACACACCCACACTGAGAAAGCGACTCAAGTGGCCAGCAGCTTGTTCAGAGTTGTATGTGTGTGTGTGTGTGAGAGAGAAAGAGAGAGTGTGTTTATTGGAGACGAAAACATTGATTATTGTTGCATGTTGCCTGCCCGCATCCTGTTCAGGCATATTGGCATTGAGATTATTATTTGACCTTTGGTCATAATTACGATGGTCAGACAGGCTGCAAACGCCACTGTTCACTGTTCGTCATTAATCATGTAGAAAAAATGTCAAAAATAAATCACCTAACGAAGCTTTTTGGTTTCTTGCTGCTGTCTGCTGTCTTTGTCAATTGCGCGCTAATTACGCATGAGAAGCCGAGCAGGCGACAAAGACAGTCGACAGACATTGAAAATTACTTAAACGCCCCGTGCAAAGTAGCAAAGACTCTTTTCTCTCTCTCTCTCTCGCTCTCTCTTTCACTGCCAAGCTAGCTGTCTACCTGTTGTGCGCTTGTGTGTGTATTTTTTAAAGAATCCATTGAAGAGTGAAAGCAGTCAAACGTAGCCGTTAAAAAGTGTAAGTTGTTGCCGGTTGTTGTTTCGGCGGCTGCCTCAGTGAAAGATCATTGGCATATTTACATGGATTACCAACTCACTGCCTACCTGCCTGTCTGTATGTGTGTGTGTGTATATGTGTAAGTGTGTTCCAGTGCTTTTTTTGTTGGTATTTTGAGGCTTGGCTTCTTCGAATTGCCAGACGATTAAATATGAACGGATCTCATTGTTTTGTTTCATATTTTCTCCGTCAGAGCGCTTGTTATATATATATATATTTTTTTTATTTTTTTCGTTTTAGAATCGATAAATTTTTGAAATATTTCCCTCAATTTCACTGAATTTAAAGACCAATTTGTACTAATTTGTAATTTTCAAAAATTGAATTGAAATTAAAATCAATTCAAGAAGGAGAGTTTGAAATGTGTGTTTGTTTCAGAATTATATTTGTGAGAATTTAGAGTTGCTCAATAAAATAATATGTATATTTACAAATGTTGTGATGCAAGTGGAAAACTTGTAATCATGCAATCGCTGTCTGCCCAGCAATGCGCACAAATACTCGTATGCAATTAAAATGCTTCGATTCGTACATATCTATTTATTTATCTATTTATTTATTTATATATTCTGCTAATCATGCCTTTCGCAATTGGGCGTCCGGCTGGCTGGCTGGCTGGCTGGCTGCCTCTGCAATAACAACCAATTTATGAATGCCGCCAAAAACGAAAGACTTAAGGCACAAACTTGTCGCTCGTTTGCAATGGCTGCATAAATCCAAGTAAACTTCGATTGCTAGGATAAGCAGTCAAACGACATGAAAACAAAATGGGAAAAAAGGTATAAGTAAACAAGTGCACAAGTCGGGGGGTATAAAC